GAAAGTGCAGAGGGGATAAATGTAAGGGATGTGTTGCAAATTGTTGGAGGAAACATTATGTCACCTTTATCAGACGATCTTGGCCTTATTCCCTAATCTCTCCCTCTACTCTATGAAAGCCTCTTGTGTTGCTGGTATGTCTTCTATTTGAGCTGCCAAAGTTGTTCACTGCTATTTGTTGCTTTGATTTCAGGGAATTGAGTTCCAGTCGCACTGCTCAAGTTCCAGCTCACACTCTTCTCTCTATGTTTGAGAAAGAGATTGTCCAATGTGGTGAAATAACTTGTTTGCAAAAGTAGTTTAGTATTTACAATGTGAATTCAAGAGCATAGTTCAACATGTGAATTGAGCCTCACGCAGGGGGAAGTGAATTGATTTCTGGGATGACAAATTAAACATTGTTGATGCTGAATAACGCAAACTTTGGGACAAATTATTCATAAAATTGTTTTCGGTATCTGATGCAGGACTCATCAAAGCTCTGAAAAAAAATGCCCTTGACTTGGCTTCCTCCAATGACGCCTTTCACAGCTTCTTAAATGAGTACTGAATGTCCTTTACTAGTTTTGGTCAGTTCACATCTGTAAAGTCGTTTATACATCAGTCTTACACAAATGCATAGAACTGCACTCGCTTCTAACCATCATCTCGGAATAAATGGGAGGAAAAAATGCACTTGTGTTCTCAAATAAATGAGGAAAACACACACATCCGTCCTTCGGATGAGATGTTAAACCGAGGTCCCGTCTGCCTGTTTAGGTGAATGTTAAAGATCCCGTGGCGCTTTTCGAAAAGAGAAAGGAGTTTCTCCTGGTGTGCTGGCCAACACTCTCCTGAAATAAAATTTGTAATTCATTTCATGGCTGTTATGGGACGTTGCTGTGAGAGTTTGCCTACAAAATACAGAGTCGCTTCATTTCACAGCAATCCCTGTGAGACATCCTTCTCACGTGATAAGGCGTTTTAACAAATGCACGTATTATGTTATTTGTGGATTATCTCAGGATAATTAACCCCTCACTTTTGATTTATCTTGGAATAAATGGGGGAAAACCATAAGCGCAATTTATAGTCGGACGGAAATGCTCTTGCTCCTTGGTTACAATCTTCATTCCTACACATAGAATCATCCTTTAATTAATGGCTTTCTGGCTGTGGTTCAGGAAGGCAATCTGTCTTTCCTTTCCATTCAGTAGCTATTTTTGAAGAATGTATTTTTTTTACACACTCTTTGCAACCTACAGGGATTTCTTCACAATTTGACACTGTAGCAAGATGCAGTTTAATTAAAAAAGACTGCAAGGTTTATGGAGTACTGACTTAGATTATTTTTTGCCAGTTTGGAAAAAGTGGAGTCCGAATCTCTTGTTGTCTTTGGACCCAGTAGGAAAGTGTTATTGCTTTTCTTATTTGACCTCACCCTTACTACAACAATAACAACAACAAATTACATGTGTATAGCGCCTTTCACGTGAGGAGGACGTCCCAAGTCGCTGGATAGTCAGAGCTCCGCACCCGAACTGGTGGTTGGGATCAGGGAGAGCTCATTCTTTATTGCAAGATTAAGGTTTTATTTCTTTTAATTTAGTAACCAGTCAGGCTTGCTTTTGTTCTGTTGCAATGGATATTGGAAATGTATTGTTTTTGCACATTATTTGATAGAAAATTGCATACTCACTTTGAACAAGCAATTGGGTACAGAAAGGTCCAGGTCCTCTCGCTTGCGAGGCGAGTGCTCTCACCAATATGCTACAGGACACCACTTATAGTCAGGTCTGACTGTATATTTGACTCACCTTTGGATAAAGAGAGGGGGTCATCAATCTCCCAATAGGGTCAAGGGCTAATTCTCTTGTTCAGCCACAATAGTGTTCGGTATGGTGCCTCTTCACTGTTTCGAACGGTGTTCAGTTTATTTATTGCAGTCCACTTGGGATTTTATCATCATCAATCTGATTGTACTCAGTTGCCATTTGGCATCTGCAAAATTCACGTTGTGTTACGGATATTTTATTTTGTAAGACAAAGAGCTGAATGTTTTGCAGAGCTGTCAAAATAAAAATTCGATGTGGGAGGGGAGTGGCGGCCTTGCTTGTTTAGCTCAGACTTCTCGGAAACCAACAAGTTGGTTTTCCATCAGTACTGTAGTTTGTCGTTTGGAAAAAAAAGTAGTTAAAATCTCAAAAAAAAATTTTTAACGTCCCTCAACATTTNAAAAAAATCAGTAAGCTCATAAACATTTTTAATCATATGATAAAAAAAATCTTAATTGAAGCTTAAACACACAGTGAAAAGCTTCCTGGTTCTTCAGTGAGTAAAGGCTCCGTGTGGTTTTGAGCCGTTTGGGCAAGAACGTGCCAATGTAGTGTCTAATGTTGAGTTATCTGATCCGGGGGATGGGGGTGGTGGTGGGAGGATCCTGCAGCTTCCTGGATCTCTCCCGAATCTTTATCCATGAGTGGAATCCTGTAACTCAGTGGTTGGAGCACTCGCCTCGCAAACGAGAGACCAGGGTTCGATGCCCGACAGGGCGAAACATTCGGCAAGTTTCCTTATTCCACACGGCTGTCTACCCAGCAGCAAGTAGGAACCCGATTATTAGTCGATTGGTGGATCGCTTTTCCGGGGATAATAATTCCTTCAAAAAAATTTATAATAAATTGGTCACTCAATGCACAACTGTGTGTGGGGACGCTGCTGTGCACAATTGGCTGCCGCATTTCAGACACAAAATATACAGTCAATTCACTTTACAGTATATTCTGTGAAGTGCTTTGAGAGACGTCTAGACATAAGGCATTATATCAAATGCAAGGATTATTATTAGTTTTATTATTTATCGCTGGCATTATAGTCAACCTGTTGTGGAACCTGCATTTGGTGAGTACAGGATAATAATAATTATCATAATCCTTGCATTTGATACAGCACGTATCAGGTTATTCATACGTCTCAAAGCGCTTCACAGAATATACTGTAAAGTGGATTGGCTGTATATTTTGTGAGTGATGAGGTTTGGCTTTGATGCCTCCTTTTGTTTCCTGATGCCTGAAGTCGTTGTCTGGTATAGAACAAGGCTTTAAAGACCAGCATTGCAGGTTCAGCGAGTTCTGTTAGTTAGCTGACCTCTGTGTATTGGTGTTGACCTCAGCTGGGACTGTGGTTGGGATAATACATTGGCTCTTTGTGCTCCTGAGTTAAGAGGAAATTGGCCAATGTTGCTTTGCACCATACAAGGTGTGCTACATGGTGATGTGCTGACCTCTGCCAATGGTGCTCTGAGGTGCGTGTGAAATCCAGACACACACCGTGGGGGAGAGGGTGATGGAGAGGGATTCCCTTTAGATGTGGGAAGCAGTTTGATTTTGCTCCTCAATATATTCTGATGCTCCAAACATCCTGCGTTGTTGTACATCCTGATTGTCAGGAAGTTTTAATAATAACTGTTCATAAGTTACAGCTCTTGATCCAGGTGACAAAGCAATAAAACCAGTCCAGCTCAAAGGCTCTTCAAGGGACATCTTGGAGGGGACCTTATAGAAGTATATAAGGTGCTGGATCAAATTCGGAAAGTCAATCCAGAACAATATTACCAGCTACACCAAGGCCGCAGCCAAGAGGACATGGGTTCAGGGCTTTGGAGGGCAATTTCAGGACAAGCCAATGTGTATATTTACACCAATTTAACAATGGGTAGGAGTTTCAAGGAAAGATTGTGGACACACGAACACGGGATGTCTCAGTGAACATGATAAGGCACTGTATGAACGGATATGCAAGGATTATTATTATTATAGATACTTCTGCTGTAAATCCAGAGCTCTGCTGTGCATGCTGTATAAAGGGTACACTGTGTTGCATGTGGGATGAATTTCGTGGTGCGTTGAGGATGTCAGCTTGTGCTGACATTCTTCCAACTTGGCTGTTTGAGGTTCAAAATGCCATGGAAGGAAATAGTAACCAGTAGTGTTTGTGTCCAGGACCATTGAGAAGCAGTAAACAAGAAACAGGATCCAAGGATGAAAACACATAATGAAGCAGATTATGCAGAGAAGGTGGTGTGTGTTTTATTTTTTACCCTTGGATTTTGAGAACTATTCCAGGTCAACTGGCAGGCACCCTAGCGCTCCTTCCTTACACTCCAGCACACCCATTTCTGCGGGTCTGTAAGGTTTACCACGTGCTTATAAGACGAACTCTCCCGTTGTAAGTAAACACCAGTAAGGTCAATTTAACTTCACCCCCTCCCCAACACGACTCTGACACTGCTGCTTGGCACTTCAAGTGAGGGTCTCTATTAGAGTGGCCTGGATTGATCGTTCCCACATTGGGCCAAGTAATGAAACTGCAGCTCTCCATGTGGGAAACCGAACAGTGAAGCTGGCTTGAACTCCAGGCTGATACCCTAATGCAATGCTGGGGGTGCGCTGCATTGTTGGGAGGTGACGTTCTTTGAACAAGATGTTAAATCGTTGTCCTATCTGCCTGTTCAGGTGGATGTTAAAGGTCCCATGGCACTATTCGAAAAGAAAAGAGAGTTTCTCTCTCCTGGTGTCCTGATCTACAATCCCTCAAGTAATAAAAAAATTGGTCGCTCACTTCATGGATTTTTATGGGATGTTACTGTGTGCAAATTGGTGGCCACATTCACCTACAAATTACAAAATCACTACCCTTCACAGCAAAAACATTTTCTTTCCTGTAAAGCGCTTTGAGACATCTCGGTGATGTGATAAGGTGCCGTTTCAAATACAAGAATTATTACTGTACTGACAGCACCAGTGGATCGATGCGTCAATTCAGAGGGACAGCTGAGCTTATCCTAAAGGTCACAGTGTGGTGTGTGGGGAGAGGGAGGCCAAGACAACACTGCGGGTGAATCATGAGCATGTGATCGATACAAACTGAATGACTTGTGTATAGTTTTATATCTTCACCTCTTGTACTTTTCCCCAGGCGGTAAAAGAGACTAATCCTGTATTCTTTCATCACTGTTTCAGAAACAGACGACAGATGAATGCTTCTTCCACGAACGGCTGGAGCCAAACAACTACAACACGTATCGCTCAAAGAAATATGACAACTGGTATGTTGCTCTCAAAAGGTCTGGACAATACAAGCCTGGACCAAAAACTGGACTGGGACAGAAAGCCATTCTCTTTCTCCCGATGTCTGCTAAATGCTCGTAGTCATTTGCTTCCAGCCGTCACCTTTTACCTTAAAGAATCGGAGGAAATGTGACTTGTTCGGAAACCAAATTTTTGATGACTTTTTTTTGCTGCAAAAGCCATCAATGTGCATGGTATTTTGTCACTACGCTCTCAAAAGTTGTATTACAGCTATTTATCCTGTAATACACCAACTGTTGTGCAATATCACGCTTCTATCAAATGTGACTTTGTAAGTCATCCCATCTTTCGGATTCCCACACTCGTCTTGCTCAATGTCAGTGTTGAAAAGCACCTTGTGTACAATATGCAACTAAATATATACTGTGGTGAATCAGTAATTCACTCATTTAACAAAACTGTATAACATAAATACAGGAAGGTACAGTTGATGCTGTGTGATACAGTACTTTACTTATCAAGTGAAGGCAAACAAGCTTTATTCAGTAAGACACGAGCTCTTTGAACCTGAAGCAGTTATTTTAATCTGTCCATCTGTGAACAGAACCAAATGGTATCTTGTGTTTTGAGGTCCAACCATAGGTTTTCCAATCTCGGGTTAAGAAAACTTCAATTCCTATTTTTTTTATTCAGTAAAAAGTCACTGATTCATTGCACTACGTGGGGCATGTGGGGGAATGTGTAACTCAATGAAATGTGCGTAACTGGCAGAGAAACAGTAGGTTTGAGCAAAAAAAAAAGAAGGATTCCTCTTGTTCAAATTGGGGGTATCGACCAACAAATATCAAGCGATTAGATAGAGAAACAAAGAGCAATAATTTCTGACATTATTGACTAAAACACAATAGTACATGTGGAGAAAATTACTGAACTCTAGTGTCTTCATATACATTGCGTTTCTGAACACCATGTAGTTGTTTCTCTCCTACCCCAACAATATCACATCAAGAATATGCCGACATCTTAAAAGAAGGGAAGCTGAACACGATGTAATAGCTGCTTTCATTTATTGGCACTATCCAACTATTGAAAGCAGTGACGGCCAAAAACAAACCAGAGTGGGTTTGAGATGATACTGTTTCAGCAAGATGCATCTCTGCTTGTTAACCAATCTTTCTCCAAGGGTACAGAGGTGCCACAAGCCAGGGGCGGGCTGAAAATCTCTACAAATGTATTTTTTAGACAAATGAGTACATTCGTAATTCTAATCCCGTTTCATTATTGTTCTTCGTTACAAGGTCTATGGTTGGATATGTACATTTGCGATTGATAGTGTGGAGGACTCATCATTTATCATGAGGTTGGGGAAATGCAGTATTGTTTAAGACCACCAAATACTGCGTTGGGAACCCTGAGAATTGGATACATTGCATAATATGTGCAGAGACCTTGACCCTGGACAAATTAACATTGCACGCCTGAATCTTGTTGGCGAAATTGGAATCTGAAATGCCGCACACAGCATTGAAAACCTGGAACACTGCCAACAAATCGGATGTGTGTCACAATGACCCGTGCAGCAGGCGTCTTATTCAATCTCCTCCTGCGATCAGAATTCCTGGGGCATGGCGTGATGCAGATCTGGTTAGCAGCAGGATTTAGCATTTGCAATCTTTAAGAGCATTTCATTCCAGAAACATACAGTCAATTCGCTTTACAGTATATTCTGTGAAGAGCTTTGAGGCGTCTTCAAGACGTGATTAGGCTCCAGATCAAATGCAAGGGATTATTATTATTCGACTCGGAACGATTCTCGTTTGCCTAGACATGGGTGGGTGGAAAAAAAATCTTGGCCACATTCTTCCAAAACCTATTTCAATGGCTCTTGCTTCAGCCGCTCATAAGTCTCTGGCAATTCCTTGTGATAGAGTTTGTAGAGAAGGCCAGTGTAAACTGCTGGAAACTCTCTCACGGTTAGGTCAATTTTCTCAAAGCCTTCCCTGTATCCATAGAAGAGCAGCCTGGCCACCCTGTTGGTTATAAGTGTGGTGCTCCGGGACCTGACCAGCTCCTCCAGATCCACCCATTCGCACCGCACGCATTCTTCCTGGCAAAAGTCGATGTCAAATGTCACCGGTGTCAGACGGCAAACAATGTACATGTCGGACTTGCCGAAGGCCCCCGGGTGATTGTGCTGCTGGCGAATGCTTAAAAGCGACTTGAACTCTGTCTTTACTCCAGTCTCTTCAAAGACTTCTCGGACAGCAGTCTCTCCTGCAAGCGCAATCGTCAGCCAAATTTAACTTTTATGTGGACGTGAAGCATTTTGCCAAAGGTAGTGTACAGCAATAAAATTGGCAGGTATCCCATTCAACTTTATAGAGTCATTCTAGAAATATAGGATTAACATCTACAGATCCAGTCCTCGGAGGTGTGAGCATGATTCCCACCATCTTCACCCTTGCCACTCCCATTTTGTTTTGCGGGCCGGAGCCCCAAAATTCCACCCAGCCTTAGTGCGTTAGGACCTTTTCGTCTTTTAAGATTGAACAGAATTGTGGAAAATTCTTAAAATTCAGTCTCAATTTGGAAGTTGGCTTTCCGCACTTCTTAAAAACGAACCGGCTTCCAAATCAAGTCTCAATTTAAGGATTTTACACGATTCTGTGCACAGTCTTGTTTCGAAATAATAATGGCCTTGGAGGCTAAGAAGTGGAATTTTGGATCTCATCTGAAGTTTTTTAAAAAAAAATACAATTTAATTTCACCGAATTCTTGTCAAAACCATTAAAAAGTACAATTTACAGGATATCCGATCCCAATTAATGCGATCGCTTGAGGCCCTTCGTGCAGTGCTGGGTGGTTTTGTGTTTCCTCTTCTCAGCCCCACCGAGACTATTAAGTTCACTCTTATTTTTAACAATTAGTGAACACAGAAGGAATGAGCCACAATTTCAAGATCACTGCATGATTTAAAGAGTTCCTTATCTCATGAAACCAAATTGTTTCTTTAACTTTCCGCTACAGACAGACCTGTAGTAGGTCTTGCAACCGTTGTGGGACACTGCTGTACGCAATTGGCTGCTGTGTTTTGTCCTCAAATTACACAGCCAATTCACTTTACAGTGTATCCTGTGAAGCGCTTTGAGACGTTTCAACGACGTGATAAGGCGCTGGGTCAAATGCGCGTGTTATTGTAAGGATTTTATTATCGTATAAATGTGGCCGCTGAGTCAGGGCAACACGCTCAGGAACCAATGCTCCTCATCACCGAGCTATAAACGTGGCTGATGTGGATGAACTGGCATCTTGCCAAACCCTGTTTTAAAAACTGGTAAATTTGTGTGCCCCCCCAAAAAAACAACACAACAACCCAACAAAAACAACATGGTTTCTACATTGAATCATTATGCCAGGGAGGAGAGAGAGAGAGAGAGAGAGAAAAAACTGAATGATGGTTCACACATTGAAGCCCTCCCATCTGAGCCCAGAGGTTGCACAGCAGTTGTTGTTTGATGGGTTAGTTCCTATTTGGTGGGTTAGTTCACATGAGTTGCCAGTACCTGACTTGTCTCCACTGTCACCTTATTAATGCTGGAGACAGTAAGATCACAGCAATCCAAACCCTGTAGCCCTGGTCGGAAGCGAGAACCTTCGAAGATGACATGAAAACGAGTCGTGCAGGTTCAAGTATGTGTTTCACACAAACTATTGCCATTGAGAGTAATGAAATGATGTGGAGATGAAAATTATTCTGGATTGTTCTATTCATTAATAAGGATGTTTAAAGAGAGAGAGAGAGAGAGAGATTGGCGAAGGTAATAGTCAGGGGGTATGGTGGAACAGGCTTGATGGTCTGATTTCTGTCCCTGCTTTCCTATGTTTCGCGTGCCGTTAAAATTGCAGCCTGCCTACATCAGAGGGTTGGCTAAGTTAAATGACTCTTCATTAATCTACTTATCTCGAGCTTGTCTTTCCATTCACTTTTCAGCATTATCCCTGCTGTACTGGTGATAAAGCATATTTTGAAGTTCAATCGGCCTGTGTCCAGTCGCTACGTAAGACAGTTCATCCAAACCGTCTCTAAGCAAACCATTCCCAGTTTGCAGCTCGGTATTTGAAATGTTTCGGACAGGCCCTGATGCTAACTGTTTTAATACGATAGACTCTCAGCTAAACCACAGAGAACTCTTGTGTTTCCCCTCTTGGGGCAGTAAATGGTCTCTTCTGTACAGTAACACTGTAAATTATCAGCCAAAGCGAATATTTACATTAACATCCAGAGGTAAATCTGAAAAACAGCTCTAGCTTTATGATGATAATGGCATCCACACAGCGTCCGTATCTCCCAAATTAAGCCCTAGAAAGGACACGGCTGGAATAATTAGACTGCACCTGAAACCATTTTGTAATTACCCAGTGTGTTCTCCCGAGGACACATTTGACGAGGAGTTCAAATCGACCTTTTGAGGAGAAAAAAATAAGGGAATTATAAAGTTCCGACTCTCGGTTGGCATTGTCGTTCTGAAAATCCTTAAGGTTTTTATTTGAATCGAAGTCAAAGCAAACTTCCCGATCTGCAAAATCTGCTGAATAAGACTGAGCTTGAGGAGTCATCTACAACAACAACAACAACAAAATAACACTTGTATAGCGCCTTTCATGTTGGGAGGACGTCCCTTTCAGCATTAAAATAGTAGAATAGTGTGCAACAGATATTCCACTAATGTATGGCAAATAGCAATGCATACAACAAAAACATAAATGCAACATATGGCTTAAATCCTTTGTTTCAAAACAAGTTTTCCCAATAAATACAAACCGATGATATTTCTGCTATTTATTTTTAAACAAGAATGTATCAAGAGAGAGAAAAATAAATCCCCAGACTTGCATTTTATCAGATACTTTTTGTTTAAACAGCATCGGCAAATGTGTTCCTACGTAACGGTTTCATATTGGAATTTTTCCTATCAACCAACTGAGTTTTCATATACTTCTAAACATTGAATTTGACAAACTGTGCCTTTTCTAAGCACCCATATATATATATATATATATAAAATGTATTTTTTATCTGGTACTAAGATTTCTTATTCTTACTCTCTCATGTAAATAGTTCAGTGCGGAAGGATCAAATGTTTATTTTTTAAATATAATTGGTGAATTCTAACACACTGGTCTCAAACCGGATCTGCAATTTGTTTTACTGGAGAAAGTGGTTAAAACGGCGACCAATATGCTGATGCCACACTGAGAGAAAAGTTCAAACGGAAAGAAATTGTCATAGTGAATGAAAACAAAATGTACATTTTGAGATTTTTAATCATTTTTTGATTTTTTTTATATATATATATTATATATTATATACGTCGATAGTTGATTATAAGTCGAGGAGGATCATGGTATAATGTCAGCCTGGCTCAGTTGGTAGCATTCTTACCACTAAGTGAAAAGGTTGTGGGTTTACCTACTTTGGGGCTTTGAGCTCACAGTTCACTGACACTGCAGTGGTCAGGGGAAGTGCTGCGCTGTGGGACGTGTCGTCCTTCTGATAAGACGTTAAACTGAGATCTCGTCCCCCTTGTTCGGGAGGACGTTAAAGATCCCGCGGCACTATTCGAAAAGAGAAGGGAGTTTGTCCCCGGTGTCCTGGCCAACAATCCCAGACAAAATTAGTCACTCACTTGCTGGCTGACCGTGGGACAACGCTGGGCGCAAATCGGCTGCCGTGTTCTTCTACAGTCACTACACTTTACAGTAAAATCCTGTGAAGCGCTTTAAGATGTTTTGATGACATAAGGCGCTATTATCAAATCCACGGATGATGATTATTATTTATTATTTTAGTCGAGTTCTAGGCTGACACATTGTTCATTTAAAGCTGTTTTATTTATATATGTACTTTTACTTACCAATATCTTCCCCTGGGTCGGACAAACCTCCTGGAAACTTCCAAGCATTCTTTGCCTTTAAAAGTAATAATGGTATAAAGTGCAAGTCACTTAAAAGTAAAACGTTAAAACTGTTAAATGTGATAGAAGAAACTGCTTGTTGCCTTATTTTGTTAAAGTTTTGAAAAAACTGCAGTAAAGCTTTTGTGTTTAAAAAGAAAAAAGAAATTGTGGCTCTGTTAATTTTAGACTAAGCAGATTAAGCAGCTGCAATGGGGCCTTAACATGGCATTCATTCTATATATTAAACAAAACGTATGTGAAATGGTGAAAGTGTTTCATTCTACTGACGCTCCAGGAGCAAATGAAATGGTGATGTGTTTTTGAGATCGGCAAAAGGGACGTTGTTTCCTCTTTTATAAAGAAACATTGACAATGCTGCTAGTTAAATAAGAGAGTAGGGAGAATAGAGAAGTTGATTTATTATGAATCAAGCTGCTATGTTTAGAAATCTGTACAGACCTGCAGTATGGTTATATTCATACCAATGCATTCTTATTAGTTTTCAATAGTGGCCTTTTGTTTTGAACTGTGTTGGTGTGTTGATGTTCTCCGGTGAAACAAATTGGCATTTGTAGTACTGTACTGTATTGTATTGGGTTAAACGTTGTCCTGCTATTAACTTGGTATGTTGCTAAATAGTCAGATATTGTTACCTTACTTCTGTATCAAATCAAAACCAGTAAACAATGTTTTTTTAAAAATATATATATATATATCATTGTGGAATGGTGAATCTTTTGTGTAGTGTCTTGTCTGTGCAACCAAGGAAGCATGTATTAAAATATCTAATGTTTGCACAATTAAAATCAATACATGTGTATCTCCATTATTGGTGTCTAAATAGGACTGGAAGTAAATGCCTATTTAACCGACATGGAATTTAACGGTTTAACTGTGGACAGGGAATTTCACAATCACATTCACTTGTTTGAAAATCCCAAAGTCCAGGTTACCTCATGCAATTAAACAGTCAATCGGGGGTGAGTCAGATCAATCATTTGGGCTGCTCAGTCAATCATTGCTATCTTCTCCCTATCGTAATGACTGCAGATGACCAAACAACAACTTGCAATTCGTACAGCGCCCTTCACTCAGGAGAGCATCTCAGAGCACTTACACTGCTGTGGTGCGACAATACAGTGCAAACAATTATACAATCACACACAGGACAAATGTGATCCATCCTTCAGAGTGGACTCACACAGTTTACTACACAGTACAGTAACTTTGTGAAGAACTTTGAGATGTTTGATAAGGTGCTTTATCAAATGCAAGTATTGGTATTATTGTACACCCATCCAACACGTACACCCATCCAACACACACCCGCACAAAAGGACTGAAAACAGAATACCTCTGTTAATTCCACAGTGTAAAATGAATGTAAGGGGTCATTTCCAATACAGGGAACATGTGTTGGCCTACAGGGATCTTGGTTTCATGGCAAACAATCTTTCACCAGCCCACAACTGCTGGACTGCAATCATTTCCAGGTAACAATCCTCCACTGTATGAGAACAGCTGTGTTTTTTTCAGGAAGGGTTATCCTGGCCAACATGGTGTGGAGTCAATGGCCTGTCATACTCTACTGTTACAGGCTGAGGCCGGTGGCACCTGTTGTAACTGGCTTTGCAATCAACAGACCCACTCTGCCTTGGGCCTGTTGCTTGTTTTTATGAAAAGCAGTTACAATTGTCACAACACACAGACGCTAGATTTTAAAGGACAAGGATAAGTAGCAAATAACCACTGCATGCTGTCAGATATATCTTCACGAGTGGAGTGGCTCGACAACATCACTTGAGGGGAGAGAACACACTCTCCGCCAATTCTGGGTAATCTAAAAATCTGCCCAGGTGAGGGGTTAAGAAATACTTAGCGTAAGAAGCACATTTCTAAATTTTGTATATATATATATATATATACACACACACATACATTCAGGGGCTATGAGTTAAGACCATACTTTGAAGACTATGGATCATGAAACTCGCTGGAACTGCTCCCAGTTCACTGAAGGGCCTTGAGTGCAATACACTTTCCATTACACACACAGCAGCAGCAGCTTCAACAAGAGATGAAAACTTAAGCAACATGGCTATGATTTCATGACTCCGGCAATTTACTTGTGCTTATGTTAACATTGCTAACTTAGCTCTGAAGTGAGATTATTTTATGTATGTATGTATGTATGTGTGTTTGTGTCTCTGCTTAAGAGTAATTACTGAGATTGAACCATGGAGAGCTGAGGCTGAGTTTCTCGCACTGAATTCAAGAAACCAGGGATTTGCGTCAAACTGGGGTGGGTGGAGCAGGCGGGGGGTGGGGGTTAGTTCTTAAGCAGTAATATGAGAAGGGCCCGTCTCAAGACCTTCCTCTTTCACCGTGGCTTCGGTCATCCTCCCACCCCTCCTACCCCCTCACCCCTCTTGATCCCTTGACTGTCCATCACCTTGCAACATCCCCTTGATGCGAACGGCGCTGTATAAATGCAATTTGTTTGTTGTTTGTTTGCTACATTTGCATCCATCGGTGGGGACGGGGAGGGGGTCGGCAAAAAAACCACACAATGACTTGACTCCTAAACCCACCGGTTCTGCACGCAGCACACAGCCCCCTCCCTCTCTGCCCTGCCCTGCGTGTGTGCCTGGACTGTGTGCCAGCTCCATAACGCACACTGCTCTTTCTTGGCTCTCTTCGCTGGCCCAGGGCTGAGAATAATTTAGTTGCTGCTTCGTCGGCAGCAGCTCGAAACTGCAGCGAAGCGACCTGACGGCGAACTATGAACAAGTTTGCGCTGAGCGGATTGCGATTGGAATAACAGCGCTCCAGGGTTTCCTCCTCAACAAGCGCTGCAAAATGTGTGTATGTGTGGCCAGGTCCTAGCAATAATGGGTCGGGTTCCTGTTCACTGCAATGCACCGAGTGAGTGACGTGAGCGAGTAAGAGTGTGCGTTTGGGTGGGTGGCTGGGGTGGGTGAGCTCCTCACTAATACACTGGAGCCAGCTGCTCAGCTTATCTTTGGCTACAAACCTTCAGCAGCTCCACACGCACACACGCACACACGATACACGTACACACACCGCCTTAGCAGAGTTTCTTCACTTCACAGAGAGAAAGTACCTCTCGGAGCCCTGGACCACACTGTCAAACCGGTGTGTCATTTATCTCTACCTATGGTCACAGGAATATGAGTTTTTTTCAAAAAAAAATTCTATCCAGTATATAGTCTTAAGGAATCATGTTAGCTGAGTACTTGTTGCGTCCAGAAAGCAGAATCTATCTTCAAGTGCCTGCCAAAAAGCTCCGTGTGACTTGCCAAACTGTCCGAGACATACGGGGGCCCAACCTAGTGAGGTTGAGAGCAGTCTGACAAGACTGAAAAAATATATTGTTTAATGCCTTTTACTTCCCAACAGTAGGTGCCTGTGTCCTTGGCTCCCTCACTCTCGCCCTCTTTCCTTGATGGTGACAGGAAATAATAAAATGCAGGACTCTTGTGAATAACCTCTTTCACAATCTTCATTAACATACCTTCCTGAACAGTACAGGCCTTGAGGTGTATCGGGCTTCTGGTTTCACTTCAGGGCAGCAATCTGGAGGTTGGTACGACTGGAAAGTTACCCAGTGACAAATTACTTTTGAACCTCGCCTCTGGCAACGGAAAGCCTGCACTCAATTACCTCAATGATGTTGTTGACAAACTCTTCAGAAATGACTTCCATACTTTTAATCAATAAGTAGGGTCTGCCTCAGGTTGCACAAAGCTCCTGCTGTCATCTTGTCTCCTGACATGTCAAGGAAATAGCAATTTTTCTAAAAAAAAATCCCTATTTAGTTCATTTGACTTTTCCTCTCTCTCTCGCGCTCTCTCTGTCTTTCCTTAATGGTGACAGAAAATCTCTTGCCTCTTGTTGATTAAAGTCCCGAGATCGTGGGCAAGGCTGGCACTCCAGTGCCTGTGTGTTTGAGGTGCCGTCCATCAGATGAGAAGCTAAACCAAGGTCCCGTCTGCCTATTCAGGTGGAATTTAAAGATCTCAAAAAGAAAAGGGAGTTTCTCCCGGTGTCCTGGTCAACAATCCGCCAAGTAAGATTGATCATTCACCTTATGACTGTTTGTGGGTGATATTGCTGTGTGATAATTTGCTACCATGTACACCTAAAAGGTACACAGTCACTTCAATAATTACTGTGAAGGGTTTTGAGATTTTTTGTGGTGTCTCTCTTGCAAGCACACACACACACCTCTCCTTTGGCCTCTCTCACACACAAATCTTTCTCTCTCTCTCTCTCTCTCTCTCACAAACAAATATGTGTAAAGTAGGGGATGGCGAGAAGCCCATTACAAAATTACGGCTATAAAGTAAACTTTGTTATAGCACGTCAAGTCTCCAGCAAATGTAAAAGTAAATCTTGATCTCCTCCTGAGGAGTTGATGAGGATTTTTCATCATTTTGATAATGAGGTGGATGTTGGACTAACACAGTCCCAGCCCAATGCTGTGACACTGCACAGAGCCCAGTCTGACGTGTGTACACAAGAAGGCCAGTGAGTTTTAATGGCAGGACACAACAGCACTGACTTGTGGTTTGGTCGCTGAGTGCTTGCGTTTCCTTTTTAACTGATTGTTTCTCTTTCCTTTCCCCTTGTTACTACAACTTATGATTTGGATCAAAAAGTGGAGGGAGCGGAAGTAATAAATAATAATATTTGTATTTGATACAAAGAGCCGCATTGAAAATTGTCAAAACACTTGAGACAATGAGTTACAGTACTTTATACATTTGATATAGGGCCTTATCACATTGAATCATCTTCTGTGAGCTTCACAGAGTCTTCTGTAAAGAGTGTGTATTTATAGGCAAATGTCCCAGAAACAGTCATGAAGTGATTGAGCAATTTTTTATTTGGGGGATTGTTGGCCAGGGCACTAGGGGAAACTCCGAACAGTGTCATGGGATCTTTAACGTCCACTTTTGAACAGTTAGATGGATTCTTGGTAACTTCGATAATGTATCATTCTGCCAGCACAACATTCAACAACAACATCAACAACTTACACTTGTCTAGCACCCTCCAATGGAGGGCAGCGTCTCAGAGCGCTTAACAATGGCGGAGGCTGACTCGGGTGGTGGGGGGGGGGGGGGTGACCGTAAGCACCAGTCGAGGAGGAAGATCTTCAAGCGGGAGCCCTTGAAAAAGAAGAGAGAGGGGGCAAGGCGGAGGGATTGAGGGAGAGTGTTCCAGAGTTTCGGGGCGTAGGGGCTGAAGGCACGACCTCCGATGGTGGGGCGGAGGGTGCGAGGGAGAGCAGGAGCCGGGGCCAGTCGAGCGGAGGCACCGGGTGGTGGAGTGGGGAGTCAGGAGGTCGGAGAGGGAGGGAGGGGTGAAGGGATTTGAATACGAGAGCGAGCAGCAGACCAACAGTAGAAAAAAAACTCAAATGCTTTCTGCAGGAGAGGAGGGAGGGGAGGAAAGTGCAAAATAAAAACAAGGTCACCTTAACTTGTCCAGACAGTTCAGCCCTAAATACCTGCTGACTTTAAATCTGCAGAGAGACAGACAAAGTCATATGTGAACTATGGCAAGTTTTCCACAAGCAGTTTCCTCTGTTTCACAAACTCTATATCTAAAGACATCAAGCGGCATATGCAGCCCCCAGTGGCACGTAACCTTTTGGTTAATACACTACCTGTAATTTGTTTTAAGTGAGTTTAGATGTGCAAAAAAATGACAACAGTTTCAACAAACACATTGCATGGGTGAGGGGAGGTGGGGGAGGGGGTTTAATGCAGTAAGTGGTGTGATACTTATCACTGGAGATAATAAAACTGCCAAATTATTAAAAACTCCATTCCTCTCCCACTGCCCCCGTTTCTGGAGACAAGAAATTCGCTGTGTGAGAAATAGTGGCTTTTAGTCTCAGTTCTTACAAGATGTTTTTATGTCTTTCTGAAGTTCTCCGCAGCAAGATGTCAGGAATGAGCAGGATCAAGATCCTAAGCTGGTAATAGCTGTTAAAAGAGTTCCTTGGAAAAGTCCCTGTAACCTCCTACATGTTGAGCGTGTTTTACAGTGTGTCACTGACACAAACAACTGTGATTTGATTTCCATTAATGTCCACAAGCTTCAAATAAAATTAAATATTCATAAAAAGTAACAGTGAACAGGACCTCGGTTTAATGTCTCATCCAAAGGACGGCACCTCTGACAATGATACCCCCCCCCCCACCCCACCACCACCACTGCTACATCGAAGTGTCATCTTAGACTACGTGAGTTCAAGTTCTGACATGGGATTTGAACCCACAGCCTTCTGACTACAGTGCAGTAGTACATATGCAGTATTTAGAGGCCTTCCCTGATGAACAGGTATTGACAGATCACTGTATGATTGTGTTACTTGGTTGATGTTTTGCCAGCAACGACTAGGTGATGTTTTTATCAAATGCCACTCGAGCATCAACTCACCTTGTTCTTGTCCTGCACAACCAGAACTTTACCATTGGCTTCATCCAACACAGCACCTACACAGTGAACGGCAAACAAGAAAGAGAATGTTCCTGGTGGTATAACACACACATTCCTGCCATCAATAAGATCAAATCACGATGTATAGTCCCTATAGTTTGGTGTAGCATCGATTGACTGCCACAAATTGCATTTAGAACTACTTCTGAAGAGGGTGTTACAATCTAGCTCAGTCACTCTGGGCCAGGGTTTTTGACCCTAGACTTCAATCATTGACCTGCTGGAAAATATGTGTTCCATTCCTCCCCCCATGAGCCTGCTTACTGTCTAGACTTAGACAGTATTGGAGAGCCCTGGCACTGCTTAAAGTGGACAATTGGCAAAAGAATCAGAGGGGAGATAAGGAGAATTTTTTTTAACGTAGCGAGTTATTACGAACTGGAATACGCTGCCTGAAAGGGTGGTGGAAGCACGTTCAATAATAACTTTCAAAAGGGAATTGGATGCTTACCTGAAAATAAACAATTTGCAAGGATATTGGGAGAACAAACAGGGGAGTGGGACTAATTGGATAGCTCTTTCAAAGAGCCAGCACAAGCATAATGGGCTGAATGGCCTCAGTCTGTGTTGTAAAATAATAATAAGATTCTATGATCAGTAGAAGAGAGGAGAGAATATATTTTAAAAAATGCATTACGAAAATATCCAACGGTGCAACATTTACTAAGTAATATGAAGAAAGATTGAATCCAAACACTTAATTTATTTTCCAGTATCCAGAGCAGCATAGACTCCTGGCACACAGACGGGAGGAACCCGAGGGTTTAGAGGAAGCAAAAGTTCATTTTTCCATCAGATTTTGATTCTCATAAAGATTTGGTGGAAAAACAAACTTCAACTTATACAATTTTCGGGCTCAGTACATTCAGAACTCTTAAAGTTCACATTTGTGCAACCTGAACAGTCACTGGTTTCAATCTTGGTTTTGATGGTTAAACCTGACCAAGAAACCAATAATAATGATAATAATCCTTGTATTTGATATAATGCCTTAACACATTGATTATTATGCCCGAAAAGCGATCCTCCAATCGACTAATAACTGAGTTCCTACTTGCTGCCGAGTAAACAGAGACAAGTGGAGTAAGGAAACTTTGCCTAAGGTTTTGCCCCGCCCAGGAATCGAACCCGGGGGCCCTCTTGCTTGCGAGGCGAGTGCTCTAACCACTACCCTACAGGACGCTTATGCATTAACTTGCTTTTGGAAGTTCAATTTGTTATGAAACAAAAACTTCTCACAGCTGGTCAAGACTTGAGAATTGTTCCACCCCTGAATCTGATCAGCTGCAAATTATTGTATGGAATGGTTATGATTGATTAGTTCCAATGACCTGAATTTGATCTTGGTTTGAAGCAGTGGAGCATCAGCCAATTGGCACTTGAATGGGACATTTCCTGGATTGATGTAATAGCTATGTTTGTAACCGTGGCCTCTTGCATCCCCCAACATATGTATCATAGTTTCTGTACTGAGGACCAGGCAGATAACCCATACCACAATGAATTTTGAGATTTTGCTGTTTCCCCCCCATCCCCCACTTCTGCCCAACAGCAATCAATACAGGATCAATGCAAAAATCTAGTTATACAACTACCTTATCTAATTTATTCAGAGTTGTCTCGAGCTAACGCTCTGGAACTCAACTGGAACACTGATCTCATCTGGATAGAGGGTGTCAATTTAAAGGCATTAGGACCACCCTACCTGTCAGGGCTTTGGTTTGCAGGGTTAACAGGAGCTGAGTGGGATGACTCCCTGTCCCCATTGACTGGTCTGCCCTTCCAGGTCCTGCCAATGAGCCAGGCTGGGCTGTGCTGTCATCAGCAGTGCTCTGGAATACGCTCCAAGGAGACCCCACTTACCTCCCTGCCAAGGAGGATGAAGTTATTAGCAAGTGGGCAACAGGGAGATTAGACCCAGAGATTAAACATGGGAAATTTTGGAAATCACAAAACCTGCTTGGAGACCCTTATACAAAAGGAAATCACAGGTGCCCTCAAAAATATAGTCACTCCACTTTACAGGATAGCCTATGAAGCACTTTGAGAAGTCCTCCCAATCTGAGACATATTTTACCAAATGTAAGTGCTATTATTGTGAAATTTGCAGCAGTTGTTATGTATAAACAATTGCAATGGTTGTTTCTTAGCTGAGTTAACAGGATTTAAAAACTCTGGGCTCAGTTAAGAAACAATTTGCTCCTATGATAGGAAGATGGTAGGATAGGATCAAATGGAGTTGAAACTTTCTTGTGATCTTGTGAAAAGACACCTCCTGAATAATTAGTCTCACAATACAGCCGACATGTTGAGAACGCAAAAATCCTTGATGAGATATATTATTTATTTGATTACAATCGTATACTGATATTTTCTTTCCTGATGGGACACAGTATATCCCATTCAGTCGTGAGCAGAGGATTAGCTTTCAGTCCGTATTGTCTGTGTCATCTACAAATGCGGTTCTCACAAAGCCCCACGAGCTATCTGATCATCTCTCGCCTCGTTCACACACACGTAACATCCATTGGTTTGCTTCACTGATGCTGCTATTCTGTTACAAAGCGATTTACACTCATGTAGGGCCTTTCACATCGGGGGATGCCCCAAAGGGCTTGGAGTTGTACAACATTTTAAGCATGGACCACTTTGTTGGCTGCCTATTGCGACGCATGCCATCATCATTCCTCGAGTGGTGGATGCCACACACGTGTAAGTCTAGGATTGCACTAAGCTGTCACACCCAGAGTTGAACAGCCCATTGACAAGGCTTCTCCAGACGCAGATGTGAAGAGCAGTAGTTTGGATGAGTTACCAGAAGCTATTTCCCCAGCCTATAGAATTATACCCCAACACGAGTTATCAGCTTCAGGAAAGGAATCACAGCTACAAAACCAGAGAGAAAATTAGAGGAAAAATGTTTTCAGAAATACAATCCTTTAATATAATGTCCCAAACACATGTCTGGCCTTTTTAATTTACTGTTAAAAGTATTTTCAGACACACAGAGCATGCAATTTCTTCCGGGTACAATTTACTTTTAATAGATCCAGCTTTCTGTGTGCACCAAATTCAGATGCGGCTGCAAATGGCAATGCTTTTGAAGGCAGCACAGATTAGACCGTGGAAGCAGGAAGGGAGGCCTTTCAGCCCATTGATCCTGCTCCGCCGGTTTGTTACATCACATTTCCTAATCTCACTTCTAAGCGCTCTGGGATGCTACCCCTGCGTGAAGGGCGCGATATAAATACAAGTTGTTGGTGTTGTAATCTTCTAACTGTAATTTAAAATTTAAGGAACTTAAATTATGGAAAACGATCCAGTCAGTGAGGACCCAGGAAATGGTTTGGAATGTGTGAACATTGTTCTTTAGAGGCTGTGAATCTAGATCATTAACATGTATTGAAAAAATACAGGAGCAAGGATGGATAGACTTAAGAAACAAATGGTGCTTAAGTAAACACCAAGGGTGGCTACTGAAAGCCTGGAGATTGTCGGAGAAAGGAAAGACTGAGAAGTAAGAAGTTCCACAGTAATAGGACTGATTATGGAAAGAAAGTTGAAAGGGACATAGTGTCAGGAATTTTGAGTTCAACATGTTCAGAGAGGGGTGCGAATGTACAAGGCAGAGGCTACAATAATCCTTGCATTTGGTTTAGTGCCTTATCAAGTCGGAGGGACTTATCAAATTAAGTGACTGTGCATTTGTAGGCAAACGCAGCAGCACAATTGCGCACAGTAATGTCCCACAAACAGCCATGAAATTAGTGACCAATGTTATTTGGGGGATTGTTGGCCAGGACACCGGGAGATACTCCTTTCTCCTTTTGAGTCGTGCCATAGGATCTTTAATGTCCAGCTGAACAGGTAGACGGGACCTCAGTTTAATGCTCAACCAAAGGATGGCACCTGCTACATTGCAATAACCCCTCAGTTCTGCCCTGGAGTGTCATCTTAGACTATGTGATTAAAACCACAACCTTCTGACTCAGAGGCGAGAATGCTACCACTGAGCCAGGCTGACACATCTAAAGGAAAGACAAAAGGAAAGAAACAGAGTAAAAAAAAAGTTGACCAATATCAAGTTATGCTTCAAATACCATAGTGATGACATTCATTTCCAGATGAAAGATTTAGTCCATCATTCAAAACAAACAACTTCCTATTTCTCTTAGCTAAAGTTTGGGCCAAACTACGTAGGCGGGGCACTTTAAGACTTTACATGGAAAAGAGAGCGTGTCAGTTTATTGTTGTGGTTTGGCCTTATACCCTCAGTTATGTCAGGACATGTTGGGACTTTAGCAATGACTAACCGATTAATTATTTCCTGAGCAAAACACCTTCCTGTCTCCGGTTTGGCAGTCAGTCCAATTAACGTCTGACAATAAAAATATATTGGAATTATCTATACATTCAAGAATGATGTCCGATGTCTGAGGAACAGAAAGTAACTGTGCTACCTCCAATTCATACAGGGCAAACCCGACCGCACTGTACAGAGTACTAGTGTACGTACTCTGAGATGCTTCCCCATGTAAAGGGTGCTGTATAAATGTAAGTTGTTGTTGTTGTGTAGGTCTCTTCAGGGCCCTGGACCAAGATCAAATTTAAAAGGGGGAAATGGGTAACTGAGTTACAGCACAAATAAAAACTTACAAGAGCGTCAGGCCTAGATGGGAATCTAGCTTCGAATGTCCTTCCTTATAAATTTGTCTTAAATGCTTTCAATTTGATTTCAGCAAAGTAGGCGTTCCACAACTTTTTCTGCTATTGCACCTGTCACACAGGGTGATGTCTCAAAGCACTTTACAGAGTGGGAGCAAAGCAGGAACTCAGAGGAGGTGGGGGGAGCGGAGAGGAAGGGACTGAGGTGACTGAAGGCCCAAGTCAGCGTGTCAAGTTTTTAAGGTTGAATTTGAAAGCAGAGAAGGAGGCTGAGAGACAGCAGGATTTAGGGAAAGACTTCCAAAGAGCCGGGGCAAAGCGGCTAACTGCTTTTATGTCAACGCTGGGATGGAGGGGGCGAAGGATATGATTGGCAGAATGAGGGAATGGACGAGGCAAGAGGGCAGCAGGGGATTGTACAGATACAGTGGAGCAAAGCCATGGAGTCATCTGAAATCTTAAAGTCGATTTGCTAGCGAAAGGAGCCTGGCGAGGAGGAGGGTGATGGGCTTGCGGAGATCTGGATGATCTGGAGTTTGCGGAGGAAAGAGCTCCGGAGGTAGGTGAACAGTGATTTATAATAACAATAATAGTCATAATAATAACCCTTGCGTTTGATATAGCACCTTATCGTGTTGTTGAGACATCCCAAAGCGCTTCGTATCTTTTCTTTCCTTGGGTTAGTTTTTCATTTTTATCCCACCGACTTACTGACTTCCCCTTTTCTCTTCTCCTTTCTTACTTGCTTTCTATTCCTTTCTGGCAAAAAGCAAGTTTTATACCCAAGAGATAGCCGTAATCGTCTGTCAGAGTAAAAACAGATGTTATAGTAAGTTCCAGCTGCAGCCAGTTTAAATGGTTTGAGCAGAGTGTAGGTCTACAGTAAACACTGTCAGCAGAAAGTAGAGCTTTTTAACGTATAGATGAAGTAGAAGTTGATTGAGCTGTAAGGGATGGTAAACAGCATCCTGAAGACAGACATCATGCGCTGTGCCATTGCACAAATAAGCATAGCTTCAAAACTCCTCACATCAACAACATGGAGATTATTCCTGGCTCACGGACTAGGCTGACCCTTCAGTGCATTGATGGGGGCAAAATTTTGCAATGTTCTCCTGTGAGACGCTTAGCCGAGGTCCAGCCTCCTGCTCACGAGGGCGTTAATGATATCAGGACATTATTTGATGTCTTCTTGGCTCTTGATCATCGACCCTCCTGTTAAAATGAGTCATTCACTTCATGGCTGTTAGTGGGACTTTACTGCCTGCATATTGGCTTGTTTACCTGCAAGCCCACAGTCACCGCATTACAGTAATGACCTGTGAAGCACTTTGAGATGTTATGACAACAATTTATATTTATATAACCCCTTTCACGTCAGGAGAATCTCTCAAAGTGCTTCACAACCTGGCCCGGGGTGGTGGTGTGGGGTGGGGGGCGGTTGTGGGGGGAGAGGAACACAACAACTGAGAAGGGAGGGAAAAGATAGTTAAAACAAAGTTGAAGAGGTAGGTCTAAAGGTGAAAATAGAGAGTGGGGGGTAAGGCAGAGGGACACTGGTATGGAGTGCCAGAGAGTGGTGAAAGCTCGCTCTACAGTGGTGTGGTGGATTTAGACAGATGACATGAAGCATCTGGTGTTCAGCGAGAGGTCACGCAAAACACGAGTGAGTACCCGGGCAGATGGGTGCAGTCAGCAACTGAGGTGACGGAAACAAGCAGGAGAGCCTCGGTCATGTTGGCATTGAGTTGTAAAACGTTAGAGCTCATCCAGTGCGATATCTGACAGCCAATCAGTCAGAACAGCATTGGTCTTGGAATCGAGGTTGGAGGTATAGAGAGAGAGAGAGAGAGTTAGGCGTCAGCCACGTACGCTCGGACCCTTTTCCTCTGGTCTCCTTTTGCTCTGCCCCATTCTCTGTCCGAGAAGGCAGGAACTCACTTGGCTCTGGGACGTTGCAGCCTTACTCAGTCTGACAACTCATCCCTCAGACATTTCCCTCGCTCTGTGTGGGCCTCCCCAGTGACGCGACCGAGACTGAGATCTTCTTGCGTGCGACTGACTGTACAGGCGCGTGTATGTGTGCGAGAGCAGCAAGGGGGGAGGTGGGCAGTCGACGGGGATGAGCCTATGTTACCCTACTCTGTCTCGCTCTGTCTGGAAACGCTCAATAAGACTCTCCCAAGCCAGCGACATTTCTGTTCATTGGTTTTTTTCAGCCACAGAACTAATAAAGCTCACTATTTGGACATGCTGCAGTGTGCAAGATTTTGCGAGCAGTCCGTAGGTCATCTCTACGAAATTATTCTAACTTGTTTCTTCCCCCCCGGTGCCAAAACCAATGAAAAACATGTTCAAACATGTTTTGGACAAACAACTGAACCGCGCCAGCCGTCTCGAACACTGCCGCCCGCTGCTTGTGGTGAGAACTGCTCCTCTTACACTTGTACTTTTTTTTAAATATACACTTTTTTTCTTCTTCTTGTGTAAAACTTGCTGCAAACAGAGAGGTGCGAACAATCGCCAGACAACAATAGCTTTCGGCACTTTCCACGTTATATATAAATAAATAAATGAATAAATGAATACATAAATAAATGAATAAATGAATAAATCAATAAATCAATAAATCAATAAATCAATAAATCAATAAATCAATAAATCAATCCTTCCGAATTTACTTCGGTCGAGTTTTTATCGTGAAGAAAAAAAGGAATCTTTTCACCAGGATGCCGCTTCCTCTCCATCAGTGGTACTTTCACAAATCAAACAGCCAACAAATACCGTGAATTTCCTTTGGGTTTTCTTTTGTTCTGCCAATTTTTGGGGGAAAATAAATAGGACAGTAGCTTGGTTGAATTTGAGGGCAAGTGATATCAATAGAATACCTGACTTAGGGGTATAACTTCTCCTTCAGATGAGACTTTAAACAGTCCTGGTGGACCTTAACGATCCCATGGCACTATTCGAAAAGAGAAGAGAGTTTCTCCCAGGGTCCTGATCAATAATCTCCAGATAAATCAATCGCTGATTGTGGGACATTGCTATATGCAAATAGACTGCTGCTTTCACCCACAAATACATAGTTACTGTACTTTACAGTGAATCCCGTGAAGCTCTTTGACACCTACTCCCGATGTGAAAGGCACTAATATCTAATGCAAAGATTGTTTTTCACTTACAGTCCTGGGATAATCCCATCTCCTAACCGGATTCCTTTTGTCCCAATCGCCAGCAAGAGAAGGGAAAGGTAACTGCATTGAATCTTAGCGCTGGTAAATCGTGCATCTGGAGCATCGGAGACCCTGGGGCAGATCTGCTGAGGCCGAGAGGTGGGGGGGGGGGGGGGAGTGCCCTCAGGTTCCTTACCATGAGCTCCCTGGTCTAAAAAGAACTTGTGTGTAGTAAGGGAAGCTTCTGATAACTAGACATAAATTTTAGTTTTCCATTTTATGTTTCTCGGTTAACGAAAGAGCTTAAAAAGCCTGTATCGGAACAATTCGTGTCCATTGCTGACCAACAATGAACCGGTCGCCATGATTTATTTTAGGAGACCTTAAAAACCATTGTGAATCAGGTTAACTATGAAACTAACTTAAACACATTTGATAGAATCCACGCATCAGACTGTGCACAGTCTTCAAACCAGATAATAATTATAACCATAATAAGAACTTGTGTGTGTTCATTTTTTTATATTTTAAATTTGATAAAGCCCTTATTACGTTGGTGAGACGTCTCAAAGCACTTTCCAGAATATACTCTAAAGTCAATCGACTGTATATTTTGTGGGCGAAACACAGCAGCCAATTGCGCACAGCAGTGTCCCACAATCAGTCGTGGTTTGAGTGACCACATTTTTCTAAAGGGATTGTTACTCCTGGAAAGCAATCCTCCAATTGACTAACAACCGAGTTCCTGCGTACTGCTAGATAATAATAATATTAATAGTAAGAATAAGAATAAGGATAAGAATAAACAGATAAACAAAGTTGTGTGGATTAAGGAAACTTGCCTGAGGTTTCACCCTGCCCCGGAATCGAACCCGGATCCTCCAAATAATGACTTGTGTCATCCCTTTCTAGATAATAATAGAACAACAACAACAACTTGCACTTATATAGCGCCCTCCATGCGGGGTAGCGTCTCAGAGCGCTTAGAAAGGGATGAGACATGTAATTATTTAGATTTTCATTGCAAAGAAATGCGGGAAATAGATTTTTTTAAAAAAATGCTCACTTTGTGGGAACGAAATAATTGGAGGAGAAAAGGCTATTGCTCACCCGCTACTCCGACTTGATGCGTGGCACGTGGAGGAAGCCTGCTCTGCCCCTGAGCCAGCCACAGGGCCAGGGTGGAACAGTCCTTTTCTGCACGGTGAAAGGTGAAGCCCTCAGCAGCTGCTGCAGCTATAAACCTGCTCTGGAGAATGGGCACACGCAGCCAGACGGCCACCCTCCCTTCTGCTCTCCAACGCTCCAGCGAATCTGCAAACGGCACAAAACAGGTTACAATTCTGCTTCGCCCACACAATACACAGTCAGGTCAACTTTACAGGACATTCTGCGAAGCGCTTTGAGACGTCTCGAAGGCGTGATGAACAGCAACGAACAACTTGCACTTACTTATAAGATGCTACATCAAATGCAAGGATTATTATTATTATTATTATTATATTCTACCCGACTGTCAGCCTTGCAGATGTGATTTTCGTCCGCGTCTTTAGACCGGCTCAGTTGGTAACCCTCTCGCCTTGGGATCAGAAGGTCGTGGGTTCAAGCCTCGCATCAGAAGTTTGAGCTCACAGACTCGGCTGCCACTCCAGTACATCACTGGGGGGGAGAAGCTGGTGCACGTTCAAAGGTGGTGCCCCTTAGATGAGACGTTGAACCGACGTATCGTTCAGAATTGGACGGATGTTAAAAATCCCATGTCACCACCAGAGAAGGGAATTTCTACCGGTGTTCCTGGCCAACAATCCTCCAGATAGAATTGGTCCATTCACTCCACGGCTGTTTGTCAGACTCAGCCACGTCTGAGCTATACGTGTCTTGGGAACGTTTGATTCGGACAGTGGGTTCCTGAACCGGAAATAAATTTCCATTCCCGACAGTTGACATCCCTCCCCTAGACAAGCACGAAATTCACCTCCCAAATCCGGAGAGACTTTAGAAATATCATCACAATGTGAAACCAGTGGGAAACAGGCAGATTCTTAAAATGGCAGCTGTGAAATCTTGTCCCCGGGAATTGATATGCAGGTTTCTTGCCTTTGTTTCTTTTTTTAAAAAAAAACAACCCATTTAATATTGAGCCAATTCGGCGACGGACCCACGGATCACAATGTCTGCATTTGTTACACAACGCCAACAACAAGTTCCTCGTCGGCAGGGCCTTTCGTGCAGAAAACCGTCTCGAAGCGTTTTAACCCTGAGTGAGTGGGTGCGAGAGCAGGATGGGAGACTGGATGGGTAGAGAATTTTTGGGGCAGGCTGGGTGTCTGACGCACGCGGATACCCATCGCCGTGCTTAAGAGGCGATGGGTTTCCGCGTGCGTCCGACACCCAGCTGTCCAGAAAAAAAACGAAGCAAGAGGGTAAGAGAGGCAACAGGCGAGGGCTCGGGCAAAGGGGTTGTTTTTAAGTTGGAGTTTGAAAGCAGGGAGAGAGTGGGGGATACGGTGATGTGGAAGGGTTTCAGCGGAGAGTTCCAGAGAGTGGAGGCAAAGAGGCCGATGGTGGCGCAGAGAGGACAGAGATTGCCATTTGACCGAACACATTTATTTCACTGAGGGCCCCTTTCGGCTGCAGGAGAGCAAAGAGCTGTATCCCAGCAGTCTGCTATCTGGATCCAATCCATGTCCCAGAGGTGGGAGGGCAGTGCGCTAACGTGCGCTGCCACACAGCTTCACAAAGTGAAAAACAAAACCAGGAGTGGGTGAAACATACAGTATTCAGGCAGATCAATATTCAGCTCACACCTCACACACACTCACACTCACACACACACACCTCACACACACTCACACACTCACACACTCACACACACACTCACACACTCACACACANCGCTCACACACACACTCACACACACGCTCACACACACATACACACATACACACTCACACACATACACACTCACACACACGCTCACACACACACTCACACACACACACACTCACACTCACTCACACACCTCACACACACTCACACTCACACACACACACCTCACACACACTCACACTCACACACTCACACACTCACACGCTCACACACACTCACACACACTCACACTCACACACTCACACACTCACACACACCTCACACACACTCACACACTCACACACACACGCTCACACACTCACACACACACACACTCACACACACGCTCACACTCACACACTCACACACACGCTCACACATACACACATACACACACACACACTCACTCACACACACACACACACACACTCACACACACACACACATACTCACACACACACACACACACATACATACACACACTCACACACGCTCACACACACACACACTCACACACACACACTCACACGCTCAAACACACACACACACGCTCAAACACACATACACACACACTCACTCACACACACACACGCACACACACACACACGCTCAAACACACACACACACACACACACACGCTCAAACACACACACACACGCTCAAACACACACACACACACACACATGCTCAAACACACACACACACTCAAACACACACACACACACGCTCAAACACACATACACACGCTCAAACACACACACACACTCACACACACACACACACACACGCTCAAACACACACACACTCAAACACACACACACACGCTCAAACACACACACACTCAAACACACACACACACACGCACACACACACACACGCACACACAAACACACACACACTCAAACACACACACACGCTCAAACACACACACACACACGCTCAAACACACACACACACACTCAAACACACACACACACGCTCAAACACACACACACACGCTCAAACACACACGTGCTCAAACACACACACACTCAAACACACATACACACGCTCAAACACACACACACACTCACACACACACACACACGCTCAAACACACACACGCTCAAACACACACACACACGCTCAAACACACACACACACGCTCAAACACACACGTGCTCAAACACACACACACTCAAACACACACACACACGCACACACACACACACGCACACCCATGCTCAAACACACACACACTCAAACACACACACACGCTCAAACACACACACACACGCTCAAACACACACACACACACTCAAACACACACACACACGCTCAAACACACACTCAAACACACACACGCTCAAACACACACACTCAAACACACACTCAAAAACACACACACTCAAACACACACGCACTCGGACAGCCACGCACTCGGACAACAGCCACGCGCACACACTCCAGCACACGTCACTCAGTGTGTTCCCCCTCTCAATCAACTTTCATCCCAACTGCGTTGACATAAGCGTTTCAGGAAGAGACTGAAGAATTCTATCAAAGCTGCTAACTCCAGGTCAGTAAACAAGTAAATCATAAGCTGGGGGTTAGCAGGCGGTCTGACAAAGTGCTTGGCTCACAAACCAAACTGGTGACCCGAGGAGTGATAAATGAGTGGAATCTTTGCACCTTAGTGCTGTATTGAGGTTGTAGTTTTCAAATGCTGATCACGAAAATACAGTCCTTGGTTTGGAAGAAAACTGTCGATTAAAAACCGAACTGTTATTTGTGCTTAAGTTGCTTCTGTGTGTAATCCTCATGCTGTGAATTAACATTAACCCAGTGTTCAACTGAGGCGAGACCTGAGTTAATATTCAGCAGTTTAACTGTTTATCTTAAAGAGTTGATGCATTTATTAGTTGGGTTCATCAGGTGGATGGTAACGATTCCACGGCACTGTCGCAAAAGAGAAGGGAGTTTCTCCCGGTGTTAGTGCTGTTTGTGGGATGTTGCTATGTGTAAATTGGTGCCATGAACACCTACAAACCATTACAGCCACTACACTCCACAAAAAAACCGTGAAGCACTTTGATGCATCTTCCCACCATGGAGGACGCAATGAAAATGATTCACACTATTGACGACACAACGTGCATCGCCAACGGACTTCCGATTAAAAATCGCCCATTTCACGGAGGTAAGATTAATAAATCTAAAATGAATGTTATAGCCTTTATTCTAATGAACGTTGCACTTAAATAAAAACAATTTGCCTTTTCACTAGTGTGAATATTATGACCCATACCTTCTGCCGCAAGAAATAAGAAGTATCATATATTCATGATACAAACTGAAATCTATGCTCATGCGCTATACATTTGGGGGAAATTGTGGTAATCCATATTACCAGAGATCGGCTCCAGGGGTCACACATGAAAAGCAACTTGACAGATAGAAGATTAACAACAACTTTTATTCGTATGGACTGTTTGTGGGACAATGCTGTGCCCGATTGGCACAAAATATACAGTCAATTCACTTCACAGTGTACTCTGTGCAGCGTTTTGAGACGTCTCGAAGACGTGACAACAAGGACGATTATGGAAGTATATCTGTGCGCTTGTTTTAAAACAAAAGTATTTGCAGGCAAATGTCCCACAAAAGGCGTGAGGTGAATTAATAATTCTCCGATTAATCTGGAGAATTATCGCCTGGGACACTGGTAAACTCCTTTCTCTTTCCGATGAGCGCCCTGGGATCTTTGACATCCACCCGAAACAGGCGCACGGGACTGTGGTTGAGAATAATGACGATTAATGTCCTGGTGTGAGGGGAAGACAGCGGGTAGATCGGCGGGTAATTCACCGCCATTACTTGCCATGCAGGAGTTTCTGGAAGGAGCGTAGGTCGAGTTGCCGTGGGAGGTCTTGGTGGTCGAGATGCACAGTGATGGCCCCAAAGCGGTCCGTCCTGGCTGTGCTGAAGATGCTGCCGGATCCTTGAAGGCAGCCACGGCGTCTCCAGGTCCCGCCAGCCCGGGCTGGAGTTCCACAGGCCCTAACACCCCCCCCGCTCCACAGTGCCAGCCTCGCGCGCAGCATGGCCACAGGCATCCCCCCCCCACTCCACGGAACAGCCGAGCGGCACAAGCAGCAACGCAAAGGGGGCACAGCGACAAGGAGCGCGGCCAAGCTGGCAGATCCGGCCAAGCTGGCAGATCCGGCCAAGCTGGCAGAAGCCTGATCCGGATATCTCGTAGGATCGCCGCCCGGCCGTCACGCGTCTGCCCACGTTCCGTTCGGGAGTTTATCTTCCGACGCGAGTTTGACGTGACTCGCGCTCTGCAGAAGTCGCTGCGACACCTCCGGTCCCAACCGATGCGACTTAAGGCGAGGCTCACAGTGCAGTGCAGGTCGGCAAACTCGCACAGCAGGAACCCGCCTCGAAACGGCAACAGCACCGGAGGAGGACGGGGAAACACGAGCGCAGACTCTCGCGTGCGCACGCGCGCACACGCACACACACACACGCGTGCGCGCGCGCACACACAGCAGGAACAGCAACAACACCCAGAGCGAAACAGAGAGAGCCGCTCCACACAGACACCCAGACCGCAAACAGCAACGCAAAGAGCACAGACAACAGCAACACAAAGAGCGCAGACAACCGCTCCGCGGCCACAGCAGAGGGAGCAGCAGGGCAATAGCACAGTACCGGGAGCAGCAGCAGGCAGGCCTGAGCCTCAGCGCAGAGCCGCCCCCACCCCCCCCCTCCCTCGGGCTGTTGTAACCCGAGGCTGTGGGTAGGTCTGCGAGCAGAAGCTTCACCACTCCACACCGCACCGGGGAGGCTGGGGCTGGGGCTGGGGGGTGGTGGCCCAGCACAGCACAGCACAGCACAGAGACTGGTGGCAAACGAGGGATAATAACCGTGAGGCAGGAGAAGCGGCCTCTAAAGTGATTTGGTGTTTCACAATAGGAGTCAGCAAATGGTTAACGCTAACCTTGTCTGCCTGTCGCTCCCGATGATTGACACTTGCTCCGAGCCTCTCACACACTCCCGGCCACGGACACTGTTTTGAGAACCCATGTAGCCCTCAAAGGGGGAAAAAAAACACTGATAAATGGGTAACTTCAATCCACGGCTGTTTGTGTGTGTGTGTGGGGGTGTGTGCGGGGGGGGTGGGGTGGGGGGGGACACCGCTGTGCGCAATCGGCTGCTGCATTTCGCCGACAAAATATACAGTCCATTCACTTTACAGTCTATCCTGTGGAGCGCTTTGAGACGTCTCGACGACGTGATAAGGCGCTGCATCAAATGCGAGGATTTATTATCATTCAAATCTATATGCTGCAGCGACATATACGCGTGTGCACTGCATATAACATATAATAAGAGCAATAATAATCCTGGCATTGGATACAGCGCCTGATCACGTTCTTCGAGACGTCTCAAAGCGCTTCATGGAACAGACTGTACAGTGTCGCGGACTGGAGATTTTGTGGGCGAAAGGCGGCAGCCGATGGCGCACAGCGGCCTCCGATATACGGCCGTGGGTTGAAGTGGCCGATTTATTATGGTTTTTTTTTGGGGGGGGGGGTTCTTGAGATGTTATTACGGGAGTGAGGACACTTGCCCGAGGTTTCACCGTGACCTGCGCCACTCCAACCCCAGGTCTCCCGCTCGGGGGGCGAGTGCTCTAACCACTGAGCGTATGTTACACATATATATTATAATATAATGTAATGTAATGTAGCCGTGTGTGGTACGGCACAGGCCGGTGTGCAGGCAGGAGGCCGGGCATGGCCCGGGGCTGCTGTTTGGTGGAGTTTGGGCTACAAAGTGGGTTTTTGGGGGGTCCGGAAATCGCAGTACCATTTTGTAGCCCAACACGAGCCCAAAAAGTAGCCCAACGTTCCGCCTGTGTCCTGCGGTGAGGGTCGCGGGGTGTGGTGTTGGGGGTGTAACACACTCACACACACACTCACACACTGCGGGGGCTTCCGCGGGTTCCTGTGGGGACACCAGAACATTTGCGGCCCCGAAGCAGTTTTTTTTTCCCGTTTTTTAAAAAAAAGTCATTATTTATAACCCAATAACCCGCCCCGACGGCAGAGAGAGAGCGCAGCGCAGCGCAGCGGAGCGGAGCGGAGCGGAGCGGAGCCGCCCATTCCCCTCTGACAGGGAAGGGCATCACAGCACATGTGGGGACACACACACACACACACACAGATAGGGACACACACACACACACACAGGGACACACACACACAGGGACACACACATAGATAGGGACACACACACACACACACAGGGACACACACACACACACACAGGGACACACACACACACACACACAGGGACACACACACACACACACAGGGACACACACACACAGGGACACACACACACACACACACACACAGACACACAGGGACACACACACACACACACACATAGATAGGGACACACACACACACATAGATAGGGACACACACACACACACAGGGACACACACACACACATAATAGGGACACACATAGAGACACACACACACACAGGGACACACACACACACACACAGGGACACACACACACACAGGGACACACACACACACACACAGGGACACACACACACACAGGGACACACACACACACACAGGGACACACACACACACACAGGGACACACACACACACACACAGGGACACACACACACACACACACAGGGACACACACACACACACACAGGGACACACACACACATAGATAGGGACACACACACACAGGGACACACACACACAGGGACACACACACACAGGGACACACAGGGACACACACACACACACACACAGGGACACACACACACACACATAGATAGGGACACACACACACACACACAGGGACACACACACACACACACACAGATAGGGACACACACACACACAGGGACACACACACACACACACAGGGACACACAGGGACACACACACACACACAGGGACACACACACACACAGGACACACACACACACACAGGGACACACACACACACACAGGGACACACACACACACACACAGGGACACACACACACACACACACACACACACACACACATAGATAGGGACACACACACACAGGGACACACACAGAGGGACACACACACACATAGATAGGGACACACACACACAGGGACACACACACACACACAGGGACACACACACACACACACATAGATAGGGACACACACACACACACACACACACACAGGGACACACACACACACACACAGGGACACACACACACACAGGAACACACACACACAGGGACACACACACACAGGGACACACACACACACACACACACACACAGGGACACACACACACACAGGGACACACACACACACACACAGGGACACACACACACACACACAGGACACACACACACACAGGACACACACACACACACAGGGACACACACACACACACACACACAGGGACACACACACAGGACACACACACACACACACAGGGACACACACACACAACACAGGGACACACACACACAGGGACACACACACACACAGGGACACACACACACATAGGGACACACAGGTTCACACACACACACACATAGGGACACACGGACACACACACACAGGGACACACACACACATAGGGACACACACACACATAGGGGCACACAGGGACACACACACACAGGGACACACACACACACAGGGACACACACACACACATAGGGACACACAGGTTCACACACACACAGGGACACACACACACAGGGACACACACACACAGGGACACACACAGACACACACACACACAGGCACACACACACATACACACATAGAGAAACACACACAGCACAGACAGGCACACACACACACACACACAAATAGACACAGACACACACACATAGACAGACACACACAGACATAGTCACATAGACACACACACACATAGACACAGGCACACACACATAGACAGACACAAATACAGGCACACCCACCCACACAGACACAGACACACAGACAGATACCCAGACAGACACACACACGCACAGACACCCAGGCACATACACACACACAGACACACAACGACACAGACACACATAGACACACACACAGACAGATACACAGACACACACACGCAGACAGACAGGCACAAACACACACAGAACACACATTGACACACACACAGATACCCACACACAGACACACACACAGGAGGACATACATAGATAGACACGCACAGACACACACACACACACACAGACAGATACAGACGCACAGACAGACACACAGACAGACACACAGATACAGACACACACACACACACACAGACGCACACGGGCGAGGCTGGGCTTTAATTAAACCATGTCCTCCAAAAAGAAGAGCAAGTGCAAAGCTGGCAGGAGCCAGGAGGAGAGCAGCCAGAGCCAACGCTCCCCGCTCAGGGCGGGGGGTGCAGGAGGAGGGGAGGGTGGGGAGGGGGCAGCTAACAGCCCCCAGCCACCCTCCTGCCTCTCGCTCACCGTGGCTGACATCCTGCTCCAGGGTAAGTCAAGTAACTCGGCTCCTGTTCACCCCTTCGAGCCGTAAGCCCTATAAGGGTCGAGTTGGTCCTGGCTGGACGAGCTCGCAGCCGGAGACCTTGCCAGACCAGACGGCGATCTCGGTAGCTGGTGTAGACCCCAGCAGTTAGCCCGACGCACACTCTGGGCTCCCCCCCCCCAAAAGCCTCGGCTCTCGCCACCCTGCGCCTAATATTTTCCGGAATTAGGTAAACGGGATGTGTCCCTCCAGGGAGAGAGAGCGGAGAGAGAGAGAGAGAGAGCGCCATTGCATTCTTAAGCAACAAAGGTGATGGGTTTCCGTGCGTATCGCCCCCCCCCCCCCCCCCCCCCCCCCGGCTAACCCCCCAAAAAACTCTCAGGCCAACCTCACACTGGGGATTTTTTTTAGTGTGGGTGACGTTTTACCCACTCCCCCCTCCCCCCGCCACATGCCCTCCTCAGGCAATGTGTATCCGCAGCCATATAACCGTGTTATAATAATAATAATAATACTATAATAATTCTCGCATTTGATGCAGCGCCTTATCACGTCACGGAAACGTCTCAAAGCGCTTTTCACGGAATATACCGTAAAGCGAAATAATCGAGTTGTGTATTTTGGGCTTCACGGTATTTGCTGTCGTCTGATTTGTAGCGTCTGGTTTATTATTGGCAAAACCAACAGTCATTTACGCACAGCTAGGTCTTAATGCGAGGTATGAAGCAAAAATGACCAGTTAATTCGAGTAGGGAGTTTTCCTCGAGGGAGCTTGAACATCCACCTGAGCAGGGAGACGGAGACCCAGCTTAGCATTGCCTCGCGGAGATGAATCGAAGGGGAGTTGGGAGCCAAGGCAGCTCACTGGAGGGAGGGAAGGAGGGAGTTTGCGTTCCCTCTCTAGCGCCTGGGAGACGAACGACTTTCAGTGTTTCACGTTTGTGGTTTTCAGGTGACGAGAATGTCCCGAAGGCGTACCAGAAACATCTTGTGCAGTTAGGTCTGAATAGCATGAAACTGGTAGCTCTCTGCATCGGACGGCCTGCCCTGCTTACCAGCAGTGCGGGCAGGCAAGAGGTAAGTGATGGGAACTGCAGCTGCTTTCAGAATTGCCAAGGCAGGAGGACAACAAGGGCCAGGTCGAGGTGAAGGCCCGGCAGCAGGAAGTATCTGCATAGAGGAAGATAATTTAACGAGTGGAACAGGTTACCAGGAAGGGTGCTGGAAGCCAGGACCCCGGACGTGTCTAATATACAGCTTGTTACTGTGCGGGTACGGTCGGGTGGGTTTTCCTGGGAAGATGAGATCAAATGGTAAACAATGCAGTCAGTCCGACAGTGCTATCCACTCTACTAACGGATATGGTACAGTTCATACTAACAGTCAGTAAGTTTCTAGGTGTCTTAAGGTTGTTTTGAGGCTTGTTGTGGTATTTTATCTCTCAGGTGTGCACAGCATGGCCGGTGCTGGGTTTCCCGAGGGATCGGGTGGGGTTAAGTGCGATCACCCAGAGGAGCCTGAAGGTCAAGGTTAATGATGTGATCTCGGTGCAGCCACTGAACAGCCCCATCTTGCAAGCGGAGGAGTTACATTTAACTTTGAGGTTTGTATCCACTAGATCTGGTCTTACGCTTCAATTATGCTGAGTTCCAGCTTATCTCTTCACATCCGCTGGCATATAGAGTCTCTCCAACTCGTTATCGGTCTGATACTTGAGCTGGGCGGACTAGTTAAAGCACCTGTGGGCACTGGTAAGGCAGCATCTGGAGAAGTCAGAGTAGGTTCTCGCCCCGTAATGTGCAGAGTGGCCACAAAGTCCTGCTTTTATTTGATGAGACTCCAGAGCGGCTGAAACAAGCTGTCAGAGATGCCGTTTGCTTCCTCACTCACATCCATGTCACGGAAGATATCACACCGAACATAGCGACAGATTATTATCGGCCATGAAAATGATGGCCCTCACTCGCGCACGCGCACGAACACGCGCACGCACACCGATTGTCTGGACGTTCAATTACAGTTAAACACTTGTACTGATTACAATTAAGTGCTTCAAAATACAGTACTCTGCATTCCTCCACATGTTTCAGTTGTTGGTCAGTGCTGTGTAGGGAGGGAAAGAAGGTGACAAGACTTTGTGGACACCCTGTACATTGAAGCTTGACTCGATAATGCCAAGGTAGCGGAACGAGAGAAGCAGGGGGGTTACACGGGACAATTTCCGGGACAGAAACTGGGAAGTACTTCTTTACCTATGGCATTTTAATGGCTGGAACAGGTTATCAAGAGGCCAGGACACTGGACTTGTTTACCAAACAGCTTGATGGAGTAATGGGAGGTCGGTAGATTGGGTCTCCAGGAAAGATGAGATCAAATGGGCTGAATAATCTTTTTCATCTGAACCATTCTTCTGATTTCCTGGAAATAAGTGGTATCCGGTTACTTGAAGCAGTTAGTGGAGTTGTGTCAGGAAATCGGTTTGGATTGTTTCAAGAAAATCTCCTTTCTCGTTGATTCCAGAGATCAAGACGATTCTTTTAAGACGGACGAATTGTCGGATTTCCTGCTGAGGAGCTTGGGTAAGGACACACCGTGCGGGGTTTGCTCAAAACGATGCAAACCGGCAGTGAATCATTGCTGGCACATTATCTTGGAATTCCCGTCGGTTACGGATGCTGTGGCACTATTCGTGGAGAGAAGGCAGTTTCCCCCCGTGTCCTGGTCTTGTTTGATCATAGATTACTATTGTCTGTTGTTTGGGTCTGCGTCCTGGGGAGAGTGGGGGGGAGGGTGGGCTCTGGCCTGTGTCCGGGTGGGTGGGTTTGGTGGTGGTGGGGGGAGCTGCCAGCCTGGATTGTTTGCTGGGCCTTTGCACTCGTGCTCTGAATGTTAACGGCACCTGGCGTGACATAGACAAGACTCACCCGGTGTTTACACTCCTGACGAGTTCCCGTTCCTCTTATTCCCCTGCCCCGCACCCTCGAATTCCCTTCTCTCCCGAGTTTCCTGTTAAATCTTGAGCGTCGTTGTGCTTCCTGCCTCACCTGGGGGCGATGAAGTTTCCCCGCAAACTCCCTGTTAGATCTGCCGCCTTCCACGCGATGATTAACGTCCCATCGGTTTCACGTACCCTTTGCTCCTCGCGTAGACGGCAAGATCGTGTTCCCTGGGAACCTCCTGCACGTGCAGTTTTACGGGCGGCCTTGCAGCTCGACGGTGACGAAGGTGAAAGGAGTGGACGGTGTGGTGTTGGAGGGTCCCCCGGATAGCGAGGCTGTGGACTTGCCAGCCTCGGCCCACGAGACCAGCGCCATAGACCTGTCCACCCACCTCAGCGGGCTGGCTATAGACGACTCTGGAGGAGAAGGGAGCCCGACCGGCCAAGCCCGGCCCCCCGCCGCCATCGCTTCCCCAGCTCCCTGCCCCCCCGCGGTGGGCGGGGAGAGCCTGGGATCGGTCCGGGAGGGGGACGCCGGGCGGGATCCTCCACTGGAGGACTTTATGCTGCAACAGGACAAGCGGGCGAGAGGTGGCGGAGAGGTCTTTTACTACATCTCTCCTCTCACTCGGATCAAGTGGCCAGACTGTGCCCGTGGGGAGTCTGCCCGGGAGGAGGCCGAGGCCAGGGTTACGTACGACGCGATCGGGGGACTGGCAGCCCAGCTCCGCGCCATTCGAGAGACCATTGAGTTGCCCCTGAAGCAGCCGGAGCTCTTCAGATCCTATGGTACGAGTGTGGAGCAGGTGCATAACGAGGGCTTGGCGGGGCAGAAAAAGGGGGTCTTGGGGTCTTTTTTTTTTACGGTCATCCTGGTCTCCTGACACGTCACCGTGCCTTCAGAGAATCTCAACGGAACTGAGCATTCCACGCGTGTTTTCCCACCTACGCAAGGAATTTTCCCTGTGTCTGGAATGGAATGATGCGCACTCTCTCCCCTGGAGGGAAGCTCTCTGCTTTACCTAATTTCGGAGCGTATCAGGCGCAGGTGGATGGGAGCCAAGGTTTTGGGACGCCCAGAGTGTGTGTGTGTTGGAGTCTAATCAGCTGAAGCCACGTGGCTTGTCATTAATGTCGCTGTCTGGCAAGCTTTCTTAATGCTGGTCCAGCTGGGACCACCCTACCCATCAGGGCTTTGACTTGCTGGGGTAACAGGAGCTGATTGGGATGATTCTCTGCCACCAGTGACTGGTTTGCCTTCTAATTCCTGCCAATGAGCCAGGCTGGGGCTGCGCTGTCATAATAATAATCCTTGCATTTGATACAGCGCCTTATCATGTCTTCGAGATGTCTCAAAGTGCTTCACAGGATACACTGTAAAGTGTAGTGACTGTATAATTTGTGGGCGAAACGCGGCAGCCAATTGTGCACAGCAGCGTCCCCACAAACAGTCGTGGATTGAAGTGACCAAATTATTTTTTAAACTTATTTTGAAGGAATTATTACCCCGGAAAAGCGAACCAAGTTCCTGCTCACTGGTGGGTAAACAAGAGACGTGTGTGTGGAGTAAGGAAACCTGCCCAATGTTTTGCCCTGCCCGGGAATCGAACCCAGGTCCTCTCGTTTGCGAGGCGAGTGGTCTAACCACTGAGCTACAGGACTCCACAGGTCGTCAGCAGTGCTCTCAAGTACTGTGGACCCACCGAGCTCAGGAGCTGGACAATCGAGACCACCACAGAGGGTTGACTCGATTTTGACTTTTGTTTTGCCAAACATGTCACCTTGGGGCCAGGAGGGCTTCACGGAGACCCTGCTTACCTCCTCCCCTCCCGAGATCGGTCCTTAGAGATGCGTGGAGGAGTGGGATTGTGGGATGCACAGTAGGCCTTATCCTGGAAGGGGTCTGAATGATTATGATGATAGAAACATGGGTCTGAGTGACATTGATGCCCGTGCCCCCCCCGCCACCCCCTCGCTCGCCCCTCCCTCCCCCACCCCTGCACTGAGCCCCCCAGGCACAGACGTTGACGTTTTTCTTTGATGGCTTCAGGAATCGCCCCTCCCCGGGGGGTCTTGCTGTACGGCCCCCCTGGCACCGGGAAGACTTTGATCGCCAGAGCCGTGGCCAGCGAAGTGGGAGCTCACGTCTCTGTCATCAATGGGCCTGAAGTGATGAGCAAGTAAGTGCAGTAAGTCTTTGGGTCCCTGGTCGGGTTTCCGAGCCCAGCAAAACAACCCAATTGAGCTGCGATAAAAGGTGCAGTAAATAGAAAGGGGCTGACAATGAATCGGGTCAAAAATAATCCTAATAATCCTCGTGTTTGGTGTAGTGCCTTTCGTGTCGGGAGGACGTCCCAAGGGGCCTTCACAGGAGATACTGTAACGCGCAGTGAGGGTGTGATTTGTGGGCGAAGCTGTAAACCGCAGCCAATTTACGCATAAACCAATCGTGAAGCGATATCGACCGATTTGTTCTTTGAACTTGAAGGAAACCCACTCAGAAGTGACTGTGCTTTATCTGCACAGTACGTGCGAGGCAATCCCTCACGGACTCCACTCCACTCATTTATTGTACATCGGTACCTCCTCGAGGGTCAGAGTGGTTTGTTCATCCCACGGCTCTACTCCTCAACCCTCGCTGTTTGTCCTCACGCAAAAATAGTGTGTCAGCCTGGTCTAGTCAGTGCACCAGTCAGTGGCACTCTCTCCTCTCGAGTCAGAAGGTTGTGGGTTCAAGCCCCACGTAGGGCCTTTTGAGCTCAAGAGTCTGACCTGACCCTCCATTGCAGTCCGAGAGGTTGTGCTGCAACGTTGGAGGTGCTTTGCCTTCGGATGTTAAAACGAGATGCTGTCTGCGTGTCCAGGTGGACATTAAAGATCCCGACCAATTCGAAAAAGAGAAGGGAGTTTTTCCCGGTGTGTTCCCGGCTAACAGTCCCCCAATAAAATGACGTCATTCACTTCACGGCTGTTTGTGGGACTTTGCTGTGCGCAAATTGGCTGGTGAGTTTGCTGACAAAATAATCGGTTTCTGCACTTTACAGTAAATCTTGCGATGGGCCCTCCTGACGCGAAACACTGAATTAAACACTGATTATCGTTATTTATTACAATAAACCCCGGATACTGAGCATCACCTCACCTCGATATCCTGCGGAGCGCGGACTAACTCGCTCCACACTTACCCAAATCCGATAACACCTGTTTCTTCATCACACGTTTATCGAGCGCTTGTTTTTTGCAGGAACCATCTCTGCCTTGGCCGATTGTTTTGGGGGGAATTTATACCACGGCGTCTGTCAGACCTGGAAAATTCCCCCCCTCCCCCAACCCACCCCCCCACATGTCTAATCTCACTTCATGTTTCCTCTGAATTTTAACACTTAAATGATCTGAAAATAAATGTTTGTGCGCTGTGGTAACTTGACTGATTCTGCGAGTCTCACCAACGCTCATAGTTCTGCCGTGATCTAACACAGTGAGTCGAGTGTTAGGGCAGAGGATGGCAGAACAGCGTGACACTTGTTATTGGGGGTTTTGCCCCGATCGCTGGGGGTAACTAAACGCCGACCGACCTGGCTATCTGGTGGGTTATTCCAGTCTCTGTGACGTTAACACATCTGCCCTCCCTCCTCTCTGCGACAGGTATTACGGAGAGAGCGAAGCAAGACTGAGGCAGATCTTTGAAGAGGCCACTCGACGGTAAACAAGCAAACAAGCGACAGCCTGTGTCCGCCCCTGTAAATGATGGGAGCATTTCATCTGCCGGCGTTGGCACGGAAATCTTATGTCGATGTTGTCGGGAAAGAATGGCAGCTGGTTCCTAAACGGTCTCAGCATGTCACCTTTGCGTTTTGCCCACAGTCACTACACTTTACAGTGGTATACTGTGAAGCGTTTTGAGACGTCCCGAAGACGTGATAGGGCGCTGTATCAAATGCAAGGATTATTATTATCATTATTACTAATTTACTTCCTTGTTCCCCCAACCCCTGTCTTTCCAGTCAGCCTTCCATCATCTTTATAGATGAACTCGACGCTTTATGTCCAAGGAGGGAAGGAGCCCAGAGCGAGGTTGAAAAGCGAGTGGTGGCTTCGCTTCTCACCCTGATGGATGGCATCGGCTCTGTGAGTGGATCCCTTACTGGCTTTGGTCGTGAGCAACGCTGTGGCAACGCTGCACCGTTAATGCAGTAAAGTAACAAGGCGGGGTCCGATCTTAGAACGAGAAGACTTTTCGGGCCTCTGTTTCGCGTTGCGCCCACAAAACACACACAGTCAATTCACTTTACAGTGTATCCTGTGAAGCGCTTTGAGACGTCTCGACGTCGTGATGAGGCGCTGCATCAAATGCCAGGATTAGTATTATTATTATTATTGTTATTACTCTGTTGCTCTGTGTTAGTGGGAGCCCAGCGCCACCTACTGGCTCCATCAGGTTATGTTTCCGCTGCTGTTGTGTGACAGAGACGGTAAAACAATCCTTGCGTCTGTAAATGTAAACAGACGGGGGAAGAAACAAAGCGTTTTGTCGTGAAAAGTGGTGGAGAGAGGCCCGACATCAAAAACCAGGTTAGGTGTAAGTGTCTGCTCCAGAACCAGAATAGGGCAGAACGTTTAGATAGTTAACCCGGTGCTTTGAATAAGACGTTAAACCGCAGTTACGCCTGTCCATTGTAGGAGGACGTCAAAGATCTTATGAGACATCGGAAAAACGAAGAGAGTTTCTCCCGGTGTCCTGGCCAAAAACCTTCCAGATTGAATGGTTGGTTTTAGTTAATCTACCGGGTTGTTAGTGAGACCCGGCTGTGTGAGCAGGGGTGGGCGCTGTTTCTGCCAACAAGAAGAGTCGTTACTCTTGACGGTAGTTGTGCTTTGAAGCTTTCATCAGATGAATCGAAAGCGCGTGGTTGAAGAGGAAGGTCTTGAGACAGACCTTGAAGGAGCTGAGGGCAGGGGTGAGGTGTAGGGACTCTGGGATGCAGTTCCAGAGAGTGGGGCAGAAAGGCTGGAAGCCTGACCGCTCCATGTCGAGCGCAGGGAGCAGGCGAGTGAGTAGCGTTTTTAGAAGGTCACAGAGGTAGAGGAGGGCAAGGCCACGGAGGGCTTTAAAAGTGATCCAGGACGTGGATCTTCAACTTGATCCTCGGGATGTGGAGCCGGGCAAAGACGAGAGCCACAGACTCCCGCGAGGAAGCGAGAGCGGGAGAGAACACAAGTCAGCAGTGATGTGACAACCCAGATTCAATCACTCAACCAACCGTACTCTTAACCAGGTTTCCTTGTTGCCTGCTCTTGGGTTGGTTTATTATAACAACAACAATAATATAATAATTATAATAATATTATAATATAATATACAATAATAATAATACAATAATAAAAATCCTTGCATTTGATCTGGCGCCTGATCACGTCTTCGAGACGTCTCAAAGCGTTTCACGGGGTACACTGGAAAGTGTAGTGACTGTGTGTTTTGTGGGTGAAAGGCGGCAGCCAATTGCGCCCGACGATGTCTCCAATTATAGCTTATTGAGTTCCTGGTGGGCTGGGCAGGGCAGGGCTGAGCAGGGCTGGGCTGAGCAGGGCTGGGCTGAGCTGGGCAGGGCAGGGCAGGGCAGGGCTGAGCTGGGCAGGGCAGGGCAGGGCTGGGCTGGGCAGGGCAGGGCTGGGCAGGGCTGAGCAGGGCAGGGCTGGGCTGGCAGCGCTGGGCTGGTGACTGTTGACCTGCTCTGGCTGGCGGTGAACGCGTTGGGTGAGTTTGGCTTCTTGACCGTCTTGACCTTTTTTCTGGGGCCCCCCCCATCCCCCACTGTACCAGGAGGGCAGTCGTGGCCAGCTGGTGGTCCTGGGTGCCACGAACCGCCCTCACGCCCTGGACCCCGCGCTGCGCAGACCCGGACGGTTCGACAAAGAAATCGAAGTCGGGATCCCCAGCCCCGAGCAGCGGGCGGACATCCTGAGGAAGCTGTTGAGGAACGTTCCGGCTTCGCTGAGGGAGGCGGAGCTGGTGCGGTTGGCGGATGCTGCCCACGGCTACGTCGGAGCTGATCTGGCCGCCGTCTGCAAGGAAGCCGGCAAGTACTGGGCCACGAGGGCCAAACCCCCCGCCCGCCCCCCCACCCCCCGCCCGCCCTCGCTGCTGCTGCTGTCTTTTTATTATTTCGTTTTGCGCCATCGCGTGGTCAACATGGGTATTACCCGGAGACAAGAAAGCTGCCGTTAGTCAGTTAAGTTAGTTGGTTAGTTAATTAGTTAATTAGTTAGTCAGTCTCAATCAGACTAAACTGAACATCACGACAAAAATCACACGGCAAAGTCAGTTGCAACACGGGCGTGCCAGCATTTGAGGATTTAAGTAAAATGGGGGCAGTTTGGTCAGTGAATAATTTTTTTTAAAAAAAGCAATGATTGGTAATAATAATCCTGGCATTTTCATATCACGCCTTATCGCGTCTTCGAGACGTCTCGAAGCGTTTCTCAGGGTACACTGCGAAGTGAATTGGCTGTATATTTTGTGGGTGAAACGCGGCAGCCAATCGCGCACAGCAGCGTCCCCACAAACAGCCGTGGATTGAAGTGACCAAATTTATTATTGTTTTTTTTCTGGAGGGATTATTATTTAGGGCTGTGTGTGGAGTGAGGAAACTTGCCCAAGGTTTGGCCCTGACTGACCTGCCGCGAATCGAACCCAGGTCTCTCGCGTGCGAGGCGATATGGTTCGCATTACATTATCACGGTGTGTCAGCCTCATGCAGTTGGTAGCACTCTTGCCTCGGAGTCAGAAGGTCGTGGGCTCAAACCCCACGTCGGGGACTTGGAGGCACATAGTCGAAGCTGACACTCCAATGGTGGGGGCTGTTGTGTTGTCAGATGAGATGTCAACCCGAGGTCCCGTCTGCCTGTGCAGTTGGATGTCAAAGATTCTGTGGCACTGCTTCAAAAGCGAAGGGAGTTTCTCTCGGTGTCTTGGCCAACAATCCCCCAGATATCTGTGGAGTCCTGTAAACTCAGTGGTTAGAGCTCTCACCTCGCGAGCGAGAGACCTGTGTTCGATTCCCGGCGGAGGGCGAAACCTTGGGCAAGTTTCCTCACTCCACACGCCCGATAATAAAAAACAATAATAATTTGGTCATTTCAATCCACGACTGTTTGTGGGGCACTGTTGTGCGCAATTGGCTGCTGCGTTCGCCCACAAATATACAGTCAATTCACTTTACAGTCTATTTATTCTGTGAAGCTCTTTGAGACGTCGAGAAGATGTGATAAGGTGTTATATCAAATGTGAGGATTGTTATTATTATAAATCAAATTGGTGACTCACTCCACTCCACTTTACACTATATCCTGTGAAGTGCTTCGAGATGTTGTGATAAGGTGCAACATCAAATGCAAGACCTCGGGAGACGACCTCCCAGGTTTTAGTAATAATAATAATATAATTATCCTTACATTTGGTAAATCCCTCGAATGACCTGTTTTACAGTAAATCCCTTGAAAGACGTATTAATGAGCTTCAAGGAACTTACTGTAAAATAGGTCATTCTGTTGCTGAGCTCATAATGGCTGCTGCATTTGCCAACAAATACAGTCGCTGCACTTTACCGTGAACCTGTGAAGCACTTTGAGACATCTCGATGATGTAATAAGATGCTATATCAAATGTAAGGATTACTATTACTGTTGTAAGTGTAGTGACTGTATTTGTAGGCTATATATTTGTACAGAAGGACAGACAGATTGAAGGGAATGCATTCCCTCATATCTTTTACAGAACTTGTGTTGGAAGGAGTGAATTACGAGGGTGGGAAGCTATTAAAACACAGCAGAAGGAAAGTAAGAAATGACCAGCTCTTTTCTCCCTATGTCTGTGGTGGCCCGTGGTGGGTTGGTTAGCGAACTCGCCTCGCAAGCGAGAACCTGGGTTCAATTCCCGTGCGGAGAGAAACCTTAGGCAAGTTTCCTTACTCCGCACGCCTCTGTTTACCTGGCAGTAAGCAAGAACCTGGTTGTTAGATCTCTTTCCGGGGGGTGATAATCCCGCACAAAAAAAAAGAATATTTGATTACTCGATCCACGACGCTGCTGCCTGCAATTGGCTGCCGCGCTTCGCCCACAAAATGCCCTTTATATTCTGCGAAGCGCTTTGAGAGAACGTGATTTTGGTACCTCATCAAATGCAAGGATTATTATATCATTATATTCCCCCCCTCGTTACAAAGCCCGTTGCCCCATGACACCACGCAACAGCGTAACGCTGATACACTGATTTGGGTTGGGGGTGGAAGTTGTGGGGGTGGGGGAGGGAGTAAGGGGGTAAGGGGGTTTGCCGTGCTTGTGGAACAAAAATTGGAGTACAAGATTGGCAAATGCTTCTGTTCGCTGCTCTAAGAAACGGTGGACTGAGGGCTGTGCCTGTTCCTGGCTCCACTGCCGTGGCTCTGTGCTGCTCCAGGTTGATTGATGGGCAGGTGGTGGTGGAGAGAGAGAGCGCTCACGTGCTTTCAGTGTGCCGGGAGGAGGCGCTCGGGAACAAAATCCACCCGTTTTATGAAGGCAACGGCTTGTCCTGGTCAGGAGTTTGGTGCCGTAGAATTAGGTTTTCTCCCTTTGCCCCCCCCCCACACACATCCCCCGCTCGGAGTCAGGCTCCACCACTGTTAAGAGCTCTGACACTCTGCCCTGCGTGGAGGGCGCTATATAAGTGCAAGTTGTTGTTGGTGGTGCGCAGGCAAGCGCACACGGAACGCGCTCTAACTCTTCCCCTTGGGAGAGGGGGAAGGACAGGTAACATCTCTGAAGCGAGTGGGGAGAAAAGTGGGGGGAAATTGATCACCTTTCCAAGCTTATGCTTCATTGAGTCAGCCAGTGAATGACGTGCATCAATGTCTGTCTCTCTCTCTCTCTCTGTTTGGTATGCTCCCCCATCCCCCCACTCAAAATCTCCCCCCCCCCCCACCTCCCCAACCTTCTCTGGATCGTGTGAATGCTCTGACTTGTATTCAGGCTCATCCCCAGTGCAATGTGCCTGAGGTCAGCAACTGCGCAGGTCACACATGAGGAACTCCCAGCCTGGTTGGGATAATTCTTTTCAGCGCAGTGTGGTGGTGATGGGTTTCCGCGTGTGTCAGCCGTCCAGCTGGCCAAAGCAGGTTGGACCGACACAGGACCCCATCGCAAACACGTGAGCGAACTCTCTCGAACGACTCTGTTCACTCTGGAGCCCCGATGGGTCACGAACCAGGATTCTCGATGGTTTTCCCCTCACTTTAACCTCAAGAGAAACATCTCGTCTACAACAGATGGCAGTTTCTGTTTCTCCAGCTCTGACCTTGAGCGTGTAAGAATGCAGCTTTTTTTTTCACTCTTTCTCTGGACTCGTGCCCCCAAAACAGTTCTTTGCTACTTCTTAATGCCAGTTGCTGCGATAATTACATTTCCAAACTCACAAAGCTCTTCAGCACCTGGTTGGATAGGGGTCATGTGTAGGATAAGCTGAGCAGTACATAGTGAGAAAACCTGCATTGTGTTTTACATAAATAATAGGGATGTCAGGAAAGTATTTTTGTTTCCCTGTGCACAGAATGGAAAATGTGGATCAGACTCCAATCAATAGCCTCTGACTGTTCCCTGATTAACTCTTTGTAACAGTGACTGAGACGCAACTAGGGCTGGTAGGTGCAGCGATGCTGAAGGTGCTGTCCTTCGTTTGAGACGTTAAACCGAGTTCCCTTCATGCCTGTTTGAGTAGAGGTTAAACGATCCCATGGCACGATTCGCAAAGAGAAAAGAATTTCTCAGATGATCCCCCAGATAAGATTGGTCGCTCACTTTATGGCTGTTTGTGGGACGTTCCTGTGCGCAAATTGGCTGCAACATTTGCCTATAAATACAGTCACTACACTTGACAGCGGGTATAGTGACCTGTGAAGCTCTTTGAGATGTTTTGATGTTACAGTTGCTAAATCAAATGCCAGGATTATTTATTTAAATATCTGCTGGAAGATTCAGCAACGGGTTCAGCCTTAAAAACAATGGAAACGGTAAAGATCTACAGCACAGAAGTAGGCCATTCGGCCCATCAAGCTTGCCCTGACTAACACAGCAAGGATATCACTTCAAACCCATCACCCCTTTTTATGCCCCTTCAAGCTCGTCTCTTTCACATGCCGGTCAACTTCCCTCTTGAAAGCTATAATGGATTCCACCACCACCACCACCAACCTATTACATTTGTATAGCGCCTTTCAGGTCAGAAAGACGTTCTACATGCCAACCATTCGCTGGGTGAGAAACCTTTGCGAGATGCGCAAGGTGTAATCATTGCATTCGATATAGCACCGTGTCACGTCGTCGAGACATCACGGAATTTTGAGAATGTTAAGAAAGGCTGTGTGCGATGCCCCCCAAAACAGCCGTGGAGTGAATTGACTGTATGTTTTGTGGGCGAATCGCAGCAGCCAATTGCGCACAGCAGCGTCCCCACAAACAGTGGTGGATTGAAGTGACCGAATTATTATTATTATTATCGTTTTTTTTTCAAAAGAGCTGCAGTTAATGAAAAACAGATCATTCCGCAGTTCTTTGTCACATGAGTTCAGGGCTGTTAACAATGTTTTGCAGTAATGGTGATTTGACTGATGTTATTTTTTACTGTGCGCTCGTTGAACATTTCTGATTATTATTATTAACATTAATCAAAGTTCAGGGTGTTCACTTTACTTTATTTTTCCCCAAATGACCATCAAACCTAACTATCTCGCCTCGCTATGATGCTTATTGGGATTTTAAGAATCCACATTATGGTGCACTGCATCTCTTCTGTGTAAGATCTTGGTAGGTTTGAGACACAAACCAAACTTAGCTACAACTCAGTGCACCTGAGGTCTCAATACAGTGCGTGGGATGCAAAGCTACACCACCTTATTATCACTGAGACCCTTGTCACTGGAGCAAATAAGGAAATTGATGCAGTGGTTTAAAAAAAACACGCACTGTTTAACAGAAATGATGAAGTCCGAACCTTTGTAGAACCGTAAGAGCTATATGGTTGCAGTTATTGTTGGAAGATAATAAT